CTGCTACAGCTGAACCCAGGACGCTGGGCAAGCCCCAAGGACTTGAGCATTGTTTGGTCTCTGAAGGTAGTGGCCAGACTGGCTTTAGAGGCAGGAGGAGTTTCTTTGGCAGCCTTCCGAGGATCGCTGGCTTTGGTCCATAGAGCAAACACGGGCTTTGAGCCATCAAAAATACTGATTCTGAGTAATTTTGTTGCAATTTTGAATTTTTGCATTTTAATGTTCATGATGAGTGTACTGTAATCTCACGGAAAGTCATTCTTGACCAAACTCCAGACAAATCCCTGTCACCACATTATCTGCAAGCAGCGTGTCGAGGTCAGCTTCCTCAGGAACCGTTTCGGTTTTGGCAGACTGACCTTTGCTGCTTGTAAAGGGATTCACTGACAAATCCCCAACCAGCAGAACAGGCCCACAGTCAGAAAGGTCCCGGGATGAGGGGGATGAGTGCTGGGAGGTGCTTCCATAGCACGTGGGTAACGTTTTGGGGTACAGAGCTGGTGTCTCCTGCTGCTGACGGCCGCTTCTCCTGCCTCTTAACCAGGGGAGACCATTAAGATCGTCATTGAAGACTACGTCCAGCACCTCAGCGGGTACTACCTGAGCCTCAAGTTTGACCCCGAGCTGCTTTTCGGGACACAGTTCCAGTACCGGAACCGCATCGCAGTGGAATTCAACCAGCTCTATCACTGGCACGGGCTGATGCCCGACTCCTTCATCATCCAGGGGGAAGAGTACAGCTACGAGCAGTTCCTCTACAACACCTCCATGCTCATGGACTATGGTGTCGAGGCACTGGTGGAGTCCTTTTCCAAGCAGATTGCGGGAAGGGTAAGGTCTTCTCTGCCCTCCCTGGCAGTGCTGGGGCTCTGGAACCCTGGGAACATCCCTGTTCCCATTCACTGGGTCATCCCTTACACACAAAGCCTTCTACTCAGCACTTGATGGGCAGGCCACAAGCACCATAGCAAGGCTGGGCCTTGGCAGCCCCTTTGGTTTGCTCTCAGGACTCTGTAGTAAACATAACGGTGATGCCAGGAGCCTGCGGGTAAGCTGGGGTCCTCCAGCCCACACAGGGCTGTGGAGCAGCCTGGGCATGGGAGCAGCACTGTTCTTTGCTGCCATCACATGGATGCTTTCCTCCAAGGGATTGCACCTCCATTCCTGACCCTCTCTGCTTGTGCAAAGTGCAGACTGGCTGTTGTGTGTTCGGGTTCTCCCAAAGCCCTGTCATCTCCCCCCTTCACCCAGGCCAGTGGATCACCATCCACCCAGGGCTTCTCCCGCACCATTCTCTGACCTGCCCTGGGAACTGATGAGCCCAACCTGCTCTATAGCTGTTTCCTGGCACTGTGCAGTGATTCCCCCTCTTCTTGGTGCTGTGCTCATGTGCTGCTCTCTATGACACCGTGCCCAGGACATGAATGCTTCACTGCAGTAGCTTTGGAATGGATGCTGGTGCCTCTTGTGCCTCACGTATGCTCCTCCTCGTGTTCTCACCCTCCAGATCGGTGGGGGACAAACCATCCACGCCAATGTCTTGAAAGTGGCCATTGGGGTCATCAAGGAATCCCGGCAGCTCAGGCTCCAGCCGTTTAATGAGTATCGGAAAAGGTTTGGCATGAAGCCCTACAAGTCCTTTCAGGAGCTCACAGGTAGGGCTGCAGTGCTGCTGTGAGGGCTCTTGGGGTTCACTGGGGCAGTGGAGATGCTCTGTGCTCACGCTGGGGTGTAAGACCATGAGCTGCTCCTCTGCAATGTGGCTGGGCTGTGGGAGCTGCCACGTTCCCGTTAACCACAGCAAGGCCAGGCCTTGCCTGGGGTGATTCCCTTTCTAAAGCACTCTGACGTTTGCTTGATGCAGGAGAGGAAGAGAAAGCGGCAGAACTGCAAGAGCTGTATGGAGACATTGATGCTCTGGAGTTCTACCCGGGCTTGCTGCTTGAGAAACCCCAACCCAATGGAATCTTTGGGGAAAGCATGGTGGAGATTGGAGCTCCATTTTCCCTGAAGGGGCTTTTTGGAAACCCCATCTGCTCCCCGGAGTACTGGAAACCCAGTACCTTTGGCGGAGCAACTGGCTTTGAGATAGTGAAGACAGCATCGCTCAAGAAGCTCGTGTGCCTCAATGTGAAGAAGTGCCCATATGTGTCGTTCCGTGTGCCGGATGCTGTGGGAAGGGGCAGCCCTCAGGATGGAGGACATTCAACGGAGCTCTAGCACCAGCACAGCCTGCCCAGGTACCAGCAAAGCTGCGCTCCAGGCCTGGCGCTGAGTATCCCATTCCTTCCTGCAGGTAGTGGGCATGCCCACCACTGTGCTGAGGAGAAGCAGGACAGAAGGTGATCCCATCCTGGGCATCCTCCACACCAGGCCTCTAGGATAGGCTTGTACCAGCCCTGTGAAAACCCCGAGTGCCTCAGGGGCTGTCCTGGGTTCAGCTCTAACAGTTGCTTTTCTCCTCCTTAGTAACTGGCTCAGGGCTGTGTTTTGTTTTACCCTGAGAACACTGCTGACACCACTGATGTTTTAGTTGTTGCTCAGTGATGCTTACTCCAGTCAAGGACTTTCCAGTCTCTCATTCTCTGCCAGTGATGAGGGGCACAAGAAGCCGGGAAGAAGCAGAGCCAGGACACCTGACCCAAACTGGCCAAAGGGATATTCCATGCCATAGCACATCATATCCAGGATAGAAACTGGGGGGAGTTACCTGGAAGGCCAAATCACTGCTCGGGTCAGGCTGGGTATCAATCAATGGGTGGTGAGCAGTTGTATTGAGTATCACTTGTGTTTATTGGTTTCTTTTCCCTTTTAGTTTTGTATTCTCTCCCCTTGTCATTTCCCTTATCATTGTTATTATTAGTGGTAGTAGTAGTAGTCTTGTATTATACCTTAGTTAGTCCTAGTGGTTTTGTATTATACCTGAGTTAGTAGTACTGACTAAGCATATATATATAAATTTTATAAATTTTAATGTTTTTTAAATTTTAAATACATAAATATTTTTTTGTATTATACCTTATTTACCAAACTGTTCTTATCTCATTACATTATTTCCACTCTCCTCCCCATCCCTCCGGGAGCACGGGGGGAAGGAGGAGGAGAGTGAGTGAGTGGCTGCATGGTTCTGAGTTACCGGCTGGGTTTAAACTATAACAGGATTGCAGGGGCCACCACCATCCTCAGCAGACCCAGCTCTCTTGCTAGTGAACACCTTGCACTAAGACAGCTTCGGGGTTCCCACGGGACACCCACCTCCTCGGGACACTCTGGACTCCCCTGTGCGCTGTCACCCTTTCCAGCCCCGGGCCACCTGCAGCCCCTCTTCCACAGGGATCCCCAGCTTGGAACAGAGGAGCGCAGAGCCCAGGCAGCCCTCATGGTCCTTCCTCCACTGCTGCACCTGGTGAAGATGCTGAGCTCCCCAGGGAGGTGGAAGAGGCTGGTGGCAGTGTGCAGAGGGACAGGAGGACACGCTGTAGGTGTTTGTGCTGGCCCAGGTGGCAGCGCTGGGAGTTTCTCTCTAAGGGTCTGCCTGGCTGTACCCTGTGCTGTGCCCCTCCAAGGGCCATGACCCTCACTGCATCCCTCACTCAGCCAAAACCACAGCTCTCAGGAACAATGCAAACAGCAGCACACGGGGAGCAGTACATCATCTGATCTGTCAGCGTGTCCCAAATCCACACCGGGATCTCCATGCCCCATGTCTCCAGCCAACCAGAGCACACTTCCAGAACATGCGTGACCATCCTCCTCTCCCTGCACTGAGCTGCTCCAGCCTCCAGCATCCTTTACCACCCAGCTAAAGGCACAAGCTCGGCTGGTTTCGGTTAGACCACAAACATCCTGCTTTTGTTTGTAGCTATCAAAGGCAGCCAGTGCTGTTTGGTACCAACTGATAAGGGTATGGAGTCCATCAGGCACAGAGAGCTGCCCAGATGCTCTCTGCCACCAAGGAGGAATGTTCATCCAGGAACTAGCTCAGCTGAGCCAACACCAGCAAACCTGAAATCCCTTCCAGCTGTGCCACCAGCTCCCACACGGCACAGCCCAGGACAGGGAAGCATCTCCCCCCTGCACCTCAACCTTCTGCTATGGGAAAAGCTTTGAAATTGTTTCACTGTAGGACTAACACTATCAAAACCTTCTCTGTGAGCCTGGGGACTGCACGTGCAGCACTGCTGAGCCCTTGCCTTTTCTTTGCTGGTCTTTCAGCCATGGCAGCTGGTAGAAATCACATCCTCACCAGCTGGTCCACCACAGTGCACAGGCACATCCATGGTAGAAGACAGCAGTTTGCATCTAAACATGGTATTTAGTCTTGTGCATCCACCAGCATCACCCAACCAAGGTGAGGGCTCCTAGTGCCCCTCAGCACTGCAAGCTCTGGGGACGGTGCAGAGGCGAGCTCTGCTGTTTGAGCTCTTGGTAAACACAGCTTGTGGGACATCCTCTGAGTTTTAAACAAGCAGCTCCGAGCAGCCCAGCTGCAGCTTTGCCTGCGCAGGGACCGACGTGGATGCAGGATGTGCAGTGCAAACAGCAATAATGAGAACATCTGGCTGTGGTTCTGCGACCTCTTAACTGATGATTCACTGAGCAGGTTAGCACCAACCAGAGGAGGCCGTGCAAGAAGACCACTTGCCTGCAACGCTTTCTCATGTTAGAGGGAAGGGAAGGAGAGAGGTCGCAGATGGGGTGCAGCTGCTCCAGGGTTTTCCTCTCCAGAATCAAGACTGATGATGGAAAGTTACCTGAACCCCATGGTGGCAAAGATAAGTAGGGCACTAAGGCTGAATGGAAAAGCAATCCCCCATCAGAGGAAGTCACCTGGACCCATCAAGCCTGGGGACAGCCACCAGAGTTGACCAATTTCTACCACTCGTTGCACCAGAGCCCTGCACGGTACCAAACCCCGCATCACCAGCTCTCAGCTTTCTGCCAAAAACCGTGTGCTGTTCTGAGGAAGCTGCTGTGCCAGGAAAGATCAATGGAACATCTTTGGCAAAATTAAAAAGCATCCTTTATTCAAAACCAAACCATTGAGTAGGAATGCACTGATTTAAGTGAAGATCTGATGGTGACGGTACAACAGCTTTGGTGGAAGGACAGGCACCTGCATCAAACCACAAACCTCACTTGCTCAAATGCCAAACTGCGTGTTTCAAAACAGGATTATTTTATGTAGATATTAATGCAATTTCATTTTCACTTTAGTTCCCCATAGGTATATATAAATACACCCCAATTCTTCATCTGCAGGTCAGGATCACATTGAAAATTAGAGAAATTAAGCAGACTTTAACACTTCAACCCACATACAGCCACAGCACTGGTATGAGTTGTAGTTTTTATTTGTACTGAATGGACAGGGGACAGACACAAATTAGTCACTACCCTATTGTAAACTACTTCTGTTCTATTGTTTAATGCACATGAAAAGTGCTGTTATTTTAGGGCACGCAATTACCAGTTGGGAAGGGTTTAACTGCAAGAATAGCCAAGAGGAGCAGCAGCAACGCTGCCTGTGCCAAGAACGAGAAGCAGTGCTGCACCACATCTTCTCTCTGCCCCCCTTTCCCTTCTGCTTATTATACTCAATGATTAATTGCATTCAGACCTCTTTTCGTTTCCTTTTCTCTACCAGCCCTGTAAATCATCCATGCTATACCTGTGTACTGCAGAGTAATAACCAGGAGTCACCTTGCTGCAGGCCACCGGACCGAGCAGCAGGAGAGGTTTTGACCTGTTCCAGTTTTGCTGCCATAAGGGCAAAAAAAAGAAGCACTTTATACAAAACAAAGCTTCAAAGCAACTCGAGCAGTCAGCGCTCCCTGAGCCCTGCTCCAAGCCAGGTTGGATGATGCTGCTAACATGCACCCTCTCTGCATGGCAGACTTCACTGAATCTCCTCCTGAATATAAATTACAGCTTTTTTTCCCTTAAATGCACTGATATCCATGTTCACTGATTTAATTTCACATAACTTTCATGGGTTATTTTTCCGTGATTCTGAGATGAAAAGAACTAATCTCTTAGCACATTGGAAAATCTGGATTTCTGCCAGTTTCCTTAAAACAGCTACAATTTGTGCCAAGTCGGTAATTTTTAATTACAAATTATTTTTTCTTCTCCTAATGCTACTTTTTAAAACACAGTTCAAACAGACACAGTTCCAAATTCCTCTTTTTCTACCCTAAGATTCATTCTTATTAAGAGCCTAGTGCTTGCACGGAGACATTTGCATTTCTTCCTGGTGTTCCAAACTGCCTTATGTAAAACTTGCAATTAAATTTAATCATTAAACAGGGCATTATGTTGGGTCGTGTTTAGGTAATGATAAGTCTACTTTCCTCAGAATGAAAAGATAACAAGCACAGTAAGTAATGCATGAGAAAGCAAATGTGTTGTAATGTCAAATTAAGTACACAGAAAAGGATTCAGTAACAACTAAGTGCAGAGCACACCCGTTCAGCGTTCTGATGTGTGCAAGGTGCATGGTTTGAGCAGTTCAGCCACACCATAACCCAGCCAGTAAAGCTTTGAGTAAAGCCTTAACTACAAGGTGCTCATGCCTGCAGTTGCTATAAATTGCTAACGGCTTCTCATGCTGCCCAGGTTATCTTGCAGCTATGCAGCAGCAGCACTGCTAGAGGCAGGGTGAGCTTTAATGTAACAGAAACCCTGAAATTACTTCCCCATATTATGCTCTGATTTATGAAGGATGTAGAGGCCAAACCAAACAAACAAACACGCCTTCATGGAAACGTTATCGCTGAGAAATGGTAATGACAAAGGTGCTGCAGGAGGGCAGTGCACATTCGGTAGCAGTAATGGAATTAGGGCAATGGGCACAAGTTATTCCTGGGGAAATTCTGACTGGATACAAGAGGGAAATTTTTCACAATGAGAATAATTAGTCCTTGGAATTATCTCCCCAGGGGAGCGGTGGATTCCCCAGCCCTGGACACAAGTGATGTGGGGAACAGAGGTGACACTACACAATCTCCTAAACTTACTGAATCGTGTTAGAACTTCATGGTTAGTAAAATACACTTGCACTGCATAAAAGCAAGACTATGTTAAGTGTACTTCACTGAACTGAAGAAAATCTTAGGGATTCTTTACATAATTTTTAACAAGCAAAAGTTGAAGTGCATGAGAGGGAAGAAAACATACCTGCACTATGGAAGAAACAGAACAATCCCTACCTAGCACATGAGCATCCCACTGTACAACTACACCTACTCGCCCTTGGAACAAGCAGTTCAGTCTATTTCCAGATCACTGTCTTCACTGTAAGTTGCAGTTGGATTATGTATAGAAGTCAGGAGCACCAGGTCTTTTTCTGGAAGCAAACTGCACTCCTGCAGAAAAGCCTCCAGGTCTACGGCAAAAAAATCTTCCCCAAGCTGGTCAGTGATGCGCACGAAATTGCCGATGAGCTCACCTGCCTTATAGACGAGCAGAGCGGGCAGCGCGTTGTTAGTGAAGCGAGTGCTAGCCCCAATGAGAGAACTCTTTACTCTGCAAAACTTAACTGTTGGATACTCAGCAGCCAGACAGATCATACAGCCGTTCAGGGACTCGGTGCCAGGGATATCATCTTCGTAAATATGGATCATGATCAGTGTGCTCTTATGCTCTTTATCAACCGTGTCCAGGAACGCTTCCCCACTGGTGATCTCAAAAACCTGTTTAAATTGCTGACCACTGTACAACTGCTGCCTCATCTCCTCCATCCGCTGCTTCCTGTATCGCTGCAAAAACTCCTCGTCGTCTTCATCATTGTGAATCATGTTATATTCTTGTAATGTCATCTGAGAAACACACACAAAGATACATGAAAGAGATGTGCATCGCTATATGGGTCACTTACATAACGAGAATTCCAATCGAGAGGATTAATGTGGGTCACTCATCTTCAGGAACAGCAAAGTGCAACCCATGAAGGCACAAGCACTCTCTGCATTACACTCCATTTTGATCTAATTAGAAGCTATGTCCAGTGGGAACAGTGATTTCAGCCTTGAGAATTCTAGGTTCCACAAGCTGCACTAATAACACAAGTGGCTGCTCCATGTTCCCACTTCAATTCAGGTTAATGCTGGCTATGTGCTTTCACTAAGCTGCAAGTGCTGATGTGGATATGGTGCCTGACCTAAGTCTTGCTTCTTTCTCATTAGTTTTTTCATCTGGCTTTTCAGTTAACGTTCTGCAGCAACCAAATGTACCACCTTGCCTGTAGAACTAAATTTAACAGGATTTTAGGAGGTATTTTGTATCTGCTCACTTCCTTTGTTAAACATAGTAGCATCACTTAAGGTACAGAACAGCACAGACAGCCTTCATCATTATTAATTAATAACTTCGCTGACTAGAACTGCAAGAGCTAGTTATGCAGCTCACAGCTGATTAAAACCATTCTCCACTTCAAATACCATCTATCTTTGGAGCAAAAAGTCAAAGCCAAATTTCAACATCCACCCACGTACTAAATACTAAATCAGTGAGGAATCCTAAACTCTTCTTTTTGGCTCAGGAGGCAGCAGTCATAGATTTGCTGTACCCGTCTCAGTATTAATCCTCTGAAGTTGATTTATTTGATAAGCAGTTAAGGAAAATCTAGAAATAGGATCTGGACTTCTTTGGTAGAGCAGCTAAATTGCTTATTTCTTAACACAGGCAAACACAAATACCACTAAAATGCAAAATACTTCAACTTGACAACACTTGGCAAAACCAGTTGCAAAGCACTTCTTATACTGCAGCTGTGTTCTTATCTACCAGGGAAATAGGATATAAATCTACTAGAACACAGATTCCTCTCCGCTTCACGCACACAAATAATGAAACTGAAAAGGTTAAACATCTATGGGGCATTTTAATTCCTGTGTGCCATGCTACCTTTCCATTGAGTTTTTCCTGAAGCTCTTTCTGCTTCTGCTTCTCAGTCTCTTCATCTAAGTGAGACCTACACGTCATAGATAACTTCTTTATGAGTCGCTCCATTTCCCTGCGCTGCTCCTGCCGCTGTTCCGTTTCCAGTTGTTTAAATCTCCGCCAGTCATTAATGACTCCTTTGGGACCTGAAATTAAACATGTAGGCATTTTGTATAAAGGACAATAAAACTATGTTTAAGATTCAAGTAATAATCCATAAGTCAGTAGTAAAATAGCAGCTCTGTCATAAGCTTTTTGTATACTGTGTAAAATCCTGAAATAAAATGAACAAAGTAATTTGCCATTTACACGTCCTTAAGTTCATACTTATTTAAGACATTAGTTTGACATGACAATACCTGTGTTGACTGCACTGCCATCGCTGCTGAGCTCTACCTCCCCACCGCTCTCAGGAATGGTGCTCTCCCCTTCTTTATCTTCTTTGTCACTGTCTTCATCCTCGCCCTCACTGCTGCTGTAATAATACTGGAGCTTCTCACCAAGCAGTTTATCATCCAAAGCAGTCATTGTGTTCTAATATTAACAGATAACAAATAGAGAATTAATAAAGTAGAGAATGGCTCCACCACCTTCTTCCACAGCAGTCCTCTAAAAGTGCTGCTGATCAAATCTCATCCTGATGGAGATGCAAGATGCTCAAGAATTTTCTTCTCTTGAGCAAGGGGCGTAGAAAAAGAGTACCACTAAGGTCACGTATGTTGCTGTGGACTTGCGATGTGCAAACTACATTTAAACGTCCACAAAATTTCATTGCAAAGAAATTAAAAGGTGATTTAAATCAAATCGATTGATCTGGGTTCATGCATGAGAGCCAGCCCCCTTCCTGTGTGTGTCTCTGACAAAGCCACCCGAAGCCGCGTATGCATAAAGCAGAGCTTTCCGTTCCACCGCCCCACGCCAGCAGGCTCTGCAAGCTAAAGCCAGATTAAGCAGCTCGCAGAGGAGGTGCCCAGATGGCCGCGCATCACCGCGGCTACTCCGCAGAGCGACACAACGGGGCGCCCGCGTCCAGGCGGGGCTACGCTCGGGGCACCGCGGCGCATCCTCCTCCCTCGGCCGGGGCTGCGCGATGCGGGGGCAGGAACCAAAACAGCCGAGCTTGGGCTGAGGAGGGGGAACGCTCTGAACGCCCGAACCCCTCCCCTTAGGGCCCCCGCATCAGCTCACCCAAGGCCGCTCTCCCCGCCGCCCCTCACCGCGGCCCCGGGCCTCACCCGCTGCCGCCGCCTTCCGGGGCTGGCTCTGGCTGCGCGCAGCACGGCGGGAACGGGGAGGAGCATCCCGCCCTCCTCCTCCTCTCCTTCCCACCCGTTCCTTCCCGCGGGTGAAGGCAAAGAGGCAGTTAAGGTGGACAAATAATTTTTATTGGTGCATGCAAATACATGTCAATACTGCAAACTTCTTCCACCGAGTCTCTCAAACACTGAAAACCAGGATGCTCTACTCCGTGACCAGCCAAAGCTATACAACCTCTTCACTTCAGTGCTACAGCAAACACACACGGCACCGCCCGCCCCTACCTCTAACACGAAGGGAAACGACCATTGGGAACTCAACCCGAGATAAACGGAATAGAATTTACTCCCCCATATAACCCCATTTCATTTTACAGATTTTTTTCTTTTTTTTTTTTAAATTATAGTTTTAAATAGAAGCTGAGAATGCGCCATAAAAATGAGCATTAAATCCATCGTAGCGATGGTGCCTGCTTTATACATGATGGGTGTACACCATCTTTTATTTCATTTACATTTCAATCGAACAATAGATTTGCAAAGAAAATGTCTAATACAGACGTAAAAATATTCACACTAGAGCTTCACAATCGGTTGTACAATTGACAAACAGGCCTCTTTTCCCAAACTTTCCAGCTAAGCAAATTTATAAAATGTAATCAATGCAACAAGAGAAAAAAAAAAAAAAAAAAGAAAAACCAATTTTCTTTAAAACTTCCAGGGAAAAGAATACGCAGTAAACAGTATAAATGCGGACAGCAGATGCTGCAAGCTAACCACGATACTTCGGAGTGGCTGTACAGTGGGTATGTGCAGTACAAATAAAAGCCACATGTGTTGTATCACAACTACTGTATAATGTACTTGTTTGCCCAGCTAAGAAAATGCATGCACTTCCATGCCTTGGATTAACTGAGACCTACCCTGGATACACTGATGGGCTATGTGCAAATGACCTTGGCTTTTGGCAGTAATAAATGCAGCCAGGCTTTGTTGTAGTTCAGATTTTACAGCGAAATCTCGAGTGATTAAAAGCTTCCACAAGCATCCTTCTTAAATAACAGGGTGTAATAATTATGTTCGGGTATTGGTCATTTTGTGATTCAGATTTGTTTCATCTCATCACTGCCAGTTTGGGGTTTGGTTTCTGTTCTTGCCGTGCTCCCTTGCCAGCAGAGAGATGCATGGTGATGACTTACTGCCAAAGTTAGCTCTTTATACTGGAAAACGGGGTCATTTAAAAAAGCACATCTATTGTGTTCTGCTTGCAGAAGAGGTCCCTCAATGAGAGGGAATTTCCTAAGAAAGGGATTAAACTACAACATAAAGAATGGACTTTTACATACTATAGATAATCTGATCATTTCTCATTTTGTTACACTCTTCAAATTCAACATCTTCCTTTAATAACAGTCTAATAATGCAAAGTCTGTCCACAAATATGATCAAGGAGCTGCTGGCATACAGTGTTTATGTACAGCAACAGGTACAACTTGACAACTTGTGCTTTAAAAAAGCAAACAAAACCAATGTTGGGAAGTATTCTGAGTTTAGATTACATTATTTTAAGCATTCTTTCCTCAGCTGTTTCTGACCTCTGTGCATTACTTTGTACCTCATCCAGCCTAGTACACTATTATACAAGAACAGCATTCAGCTCGAGTACAGGATAAAGTAAGATTTCAGCTGTGTTATCAAAACACTAAAACCTCCCAAATTAGACTTCTATGAAGAGCAATTAAGAGCTTATTTAACATAATCAGCTGTGTATAACTTGGGGTTGTTTTTTTATTCCTAAATCAAATGTCAAACTTTAGTGTCCCTGTACTAGACTACCAAGAACCAACGCCAGTTTGCTTTGCAAAGAGTCTAACCTTTCCTTTGAAGGGTCTAGTATACATTCTACAATGCAAAATCTGCATAAACACTAAGATTCATTTCTTGTCACCTGTTTACAGGAACAAAATATCAGTAGCAGGGCAATCACTCTGCTCTAAGTATATGTTAAGAATGTACAGATAATTACTTTCTCACACAAGCATTCTCCCAGCACAAGCATTAGTCTCTATTAAGACCTATGTGGGAAACGAGGCAAACCAAGGAATGAATCCAGGTAGTGAGGCAACACAATTAACTTAGACACTAATAATTCCTGTATCTCTTGCATGTGAAATCCCTGCTGTACCCCTAGTGGGGAAAAAACCAAACCAAACCAAAAACCAAACCAAAACAACCCAAAATGCTTGTCCAAGCAAAGCAAAAGAGCCAATCTCTTTCCCCATTCTGCTATGGGCCTTTTTTCTGACAGCACAGGTAAGTTAGGCCAAAACCTACATGGGAATCACTGCTATTCACACACAAAGATAAGTCACTGTATCTCAGCATCAGAAAATAAGCCCTTCCATAGCCCAAAGGCACCTGATTTACATCTAGACAAATGAATACATACTTGTTCGTATAGGGTCAAAGGCTGAAACTTCACCACAGAAGAAAGCCCGAGCTAGGTTACCACCTGTAGCTTTCTCCTTGTCAGGGCACTGGAGGGCACAATTTCATGGCGTAAACCACACAATCAGTGCTAAAACTGTTAAGACAAAGCTCGCATGCTGTTGAAATCCCTAAAGAATTCTTTTGCCTGTCATTCTAGATATTAAAAATCCAACTAAAATAAACCCCCTAGCCTCAGTTAAGAACCAACTTTCCATATGAAGTGTATGGTCATCCTAGCAAACTGCTCTATCATGGGACCTCCTGCTGCAGACAAGAGTATATATAGATACATCTGGTGTTAAATATGCCAGTCTGGTTAGCAGGAATATGTCAGGCTTATGTAATTTCACTGGACAAACAGGCAAATGTGTGTAAGCAGCTTATCCCAACCCCCCTCCAGCAGAGCACAACCAAGTTTTTAAAGTTGCAATTTTAAAATTAAAAAGTTAAGGTAAATACACAATCAATTTATGTAGTATATATTCACCCTCAGATCATGCTGAAGATGTTCTGTGGAGTTCTGGTGCACAGAGGGCTCTTTCCCTGAGGGCAAATAAGGACTTCTCAAACCTTTATATTTTCTCTATTTTTGTAACAAAATAGCAATTTAAAATTTAAAAATCTTTTAAAAAAATTACATCACCTTCAACATGGAAGATCTCACTGTTTAAATATCCATGAAAGAGACATACTTGTTTGCATATCTGTTTGGAATTACATTGTACAGCAAATAATAGTATCTCAGAAGCATTTCAAAAGTAATATAAATTCATATTTACATAATGGCCTTGGTATAAAATATACAACAATCATATTTATGTCTAACATTCTAAGTTAAAGTTAACATCGATAGGAAATAAGTTAAGGTGACAAAGGTGGTCTGTTTTTTGTGTCCATTCACTTCAAGTTGCAAGTGAAACAAAGCATCAGTCTAATCCTAGCTATGAGGTGGCACTGGCTATAGGAAGGTACAGCAACAGCCAAAGGAAACTAAGAAAAGACTACTCAACTGGTTTTCTACATACATTCCTTTACACTGGAGTATTAAATAGATGTGTAAGATCTTCCATACTGACACCAGAATATCAAAACTAACCCTTGGATTTTCAGGTATATTTACAACATAATTATCTCATGGACAGCTTCATTAGGAGAGATATCAAACACCAATATGTACTTAGTCTAATCAGGAACCCTCAGGGAAATGCCAACCCCCACCCCCCAGAAGCGTGCACAAAACAGTTATCAAAATCTTACCCGACCACATAGCTGTGATTTTGTAAAATAACAACTCAGACGACCAGTAACATGATCCTCTTTAAGCATTTTTGCTAGCAGGAAAAGCCCTTACATGCAGTACACCTGGTGAAAGATCAGCTTGGCTTAAAATATTCCAGTACAATTTTCAGAGTAAACAACTTCACAGAAGTTAATAAAAAACATAAAAAAAAAAGAAAAAATCAAATAAAATGTAAAACTTGTCACAAAGAAAAGGAAGAGGACGAACAAGAAGAGAGTCACCATCAGGAGGGAGAGTCCTGCTTTCTTTCCCAAAAGAGAAAAAAAAGAGTGGATTTTTAAGCTTCTCAAACCAACAAAATATATGCCCATGGTTCTATTTCATGTGTATTTATGAAAACCAATTTTCAGTTGACATGTCTAACTTGATCCTCAGTCACACCTTAGCAGGGCATAAATTCATACGCTTTTCAGTACTCTGAAGGTCAGATAATGCTCTATTATTGTATTTTCAAGGTCTTTGAAAATAAGTTGCCACTGAACAAGCAAAAATTAAACCTGAATACAAAATTATGATTAACAACATTTAACAAAGGTAATACAACCGCCTTAAATTCCCAATACTTAGTTTAAATTAAGAACAAAACAGTACAAAAAACAGCAATACCATCTTTGTTAGTCAGTGCAAACACTACGTACAGGGTTTTCAAAGGAAAGCCAAGAGCACCTGATACTTTTTGCCAAGTCATCTGGATTCTATAATCTCCAAGTTGAGAACTATCAGTAAGGAAAAAAAAAAAAAGGAGAAAAACCAAAATTGCTGTTACATTAGTGCATAACCTCTCAAGATGGTTGAAAATCGTTTCACGTATAACTTGGGGAAATCAGTACCTAGTACATTAGCTGGAGGACTTAGGCACTTGGTTTACTTCTGATAACTTTACTTGGACAAGTAGCCTGTGTATGTGTATGTACATTACTAAAGGAGATATTGGGGGGGGGAAATGGAAACAAAAAAGCTGCAGCAAAGCACTGCACCACAGACCTGCGAATAACGTAGCAGTGCAAAGCTAACGGTGTGTTAACCCTGTAAAAGTCTCAAGTCCGAATCTCCACCTCTCAGTCTTCAAACAGGAAACAATACTCCATGCAAAGTTCCACAACTAAAGAAAAAGCAGCTGCAACAAGACACGAGTTCTTCTCTCATGAAATAAAATAGAGACAAATAAGTTAAGTCTTCCTTTCACTAGATGTATCATCGTAGGATCCTGCTAGTTTAAATAACTGAGTTGTTAGTTTTCTACAGAAGCCATTTTAAACACGAATGGCTCAGATACCGCACCGGATTGCTACAAACTCATAAAAAGCTGCTTTAAGCTTAAGTAAAACAATGTCCAAATTCCATTCATTTGTGGAAAGTGAACGCCTTACCCTAGGAAAGTAAGTTTTTTTTTTCTTCAGAATGCTAATGCGAGAGGGGCTTGAAGTATCAAAGAGTCCACAGGAAATGCATGACCCCAATATTATTCTTTTAAAAAAAATATACATTATATAATATATATTATATATATAAAAAGCTAGTGTAAATGCTTCCATGGTGTGGTCACAAGCTGGAAAGATGAATGCCTTTCAGCTGTTAACCATCCTGCCACTTGCAACAGGCTTTAAAAAGTCATTTTTATCCTCAGACATAATGTGAGCAGTTTTCAAAATGAGGCTGCCAACACTGACTGCTGTGCTGATGGGCAGGCAGCTTGCATTGCTAACAGATGTGATCGGCTGACTGAAGCAAGAAGTTACGGGCAGGATTGTTTTCTGCTCCTCCCTGAGGAGAAAAATAAGTTACACAAATATTAAACAAGTACATGCACAAGTATCCGCAACTGAATTGTGTGCATTAAATAAATACTGACATCAACTCCTTTTTAGCAACAGGCTAAACAGCTTACTGTGGAACGGTACGCTCAAGGTGTAGTCTGCCTCATTTTCAAAGGCTGCATTACAGAGTAAAGACTACAGAACATAGAAACCTAAAATAGTGTATTTTAAAAACTACCTCTCTATGGAGATTTGTGCAAACAGGAGGACATTTCACCTTTTGGAGTTCTTCTTAGTTTCTGTTAACTATAAAAATACTTTTGCATTTTTTTGCTTACTGAATGTGAAAGGTATTTTTAACAGCTGTGACACGTTTCAGTGTATATGATTACAACAATGCATATGAACAATGGTGCCATCCTGTGACTTTTGTATCTATGACCTAATTCTATTTCTTAACAGGTTCTTCTCACTTCACCATGTATACACAATGCAGGTGTCTAATCCAAGTCTGAGTAGGTACGTAGTTCATCCATAAACAACCATGCTTCACCTATTCTGATGCTGCTGTTTGTCTAAAACTGGCAGACACTGCTGTTTTGTCTAACACTCACAGAATCACAAGGTCTTCACCTAAACTTTGTCTCTTCTGTTCCATAGATTCTTTCTGGTGCTGCTTTAGCAGATGTCCATTCTCTACGGTTGTCCCATTGAGCAGCTGATCATCTTGAGAACTAATACCTAGTTGTATATCCAGAATCTCCTAGAGAGGAAAAGGAGAAATAACCATCAACACTGTCACAACCAGCTTTAATTTTTTTTTAATAAGTTCCACTACATAAAACTGATAGAAACAAGAGCCTCATCAAAAGACTCCTTGTTTTTATTTCATACTTTGCAATGTCTACATTATTTTACTATAGGGAAAAGGAAAAAACAATCTTTCAAAGACTGCAGTGAAAGACGATGGTACACATCAGTTTAAACATCAGTTGCTAAAAAATGGCTTATCAGGTGAGATAGGAAGGAGGCAGTAAAGTGAGAGCTGTTTCAATAATCACAGATAGAGGTAAGGCTGAAGAGAAAGATCCTTCCATCCACATAGTGGTGATTCACAAAATCAAGTGGCAGGATGGTTAACAAAAAAATACACAATAAAAAATACCACTGCTTCACAAACCTCAGGCAGAGCAAACAAAAGCTGTCACCAGTACTGTAAGTCGGTATTGAATGTGTTATGGGATATGTTCCAGATAAGAACCTTAATCTAATGCTTTAAAAAAGGGCAATTGATCCTAATGTATGGAACGAACTCCAGAATATTTTACTACTGCACAGCAAAAGGAAAAAATTACATAGAAGAAACTGGGGCAGATGCACCAGTTACATTACAAACAAACAATGAAGTAGTAGTGAAAACAAAAGAACACTGGGTTACAATTAAATTACTGTTACAACCCAGGTAAGCATAAAGTTTAAGTTAAATGATCACACTTAAACATAAACCATTCTTAACTACAGTTTCAGCACTGGAGGGGAAGGGGAAAGGGCAGACTCCCCATTACTAATGTTATCGAAGAGCAAAAAGCTGAAAGCTGTGACAACACACCGAGCTGTTTTCAACTTGGTAGTATTAACTGTCAGGTATCTCAGCGAGACCCCTAGTGTTCAAATAAGGCAAGCGTTTGCTATCACTACAAAGACCAAACACAAGATTCTTCTATCAAAGTCATCTACTAATTCACATAGAAATTGTAAAAGTTTCCCAGTAACTAATGAAAGGACCCAGTGACCTCTTTAGATGCACATATTTCTGTACTTACTTCTATTTGTTCACCTTGCCCATCAGGTTCATCTGTATCCAGGGCTGACAGCTCCAATTCAATGTCTCGATCTGGCTTTGTGTCTGCACAGTCTTCAGTATAATCAGTCTGAAAAAAAGAGAATATGGTCTGTAATATCAAGCTGGCTTTTCACCTGCTCCATACAAAACTCAAGTATTACAGTGAAAACATCAGATGCATTTCTAGGACACAACATTTCTAAACACAAGAGACTAACACAAATAGAACTTTGAGCATAGACAAAATAGGGGCAAAACTAAATCTAATCACATTAAAGTACTGAAACAGAGAGATAAAATGAATTCTGGGGCAGAGAAGTCTGTAGGAGTCCACTGACACAATGTTTATGTTTCTAACATGTACAACAGAATGGAAAGTAAAGACTGCATGAAAATGGTTTGTCACACTCTTCCCATTTTGTAAATGGAGCAGCAGCCCTGAAGATGCACCTACCCGATCTCAGGGAAATAACCAGACAACAACAACAGCGACTTAACTTGCAAAGAATGTGTTACAAATATTTGGGAATGATAAAACTATTTTTAGGTGTTGGCTGAAATGCATGCACTTATGTATATACACAAAACCTCAGAAATTTGTTTCATCCCAATTACCCCTTTCTTTACCTCACCATTCCTCAAATCAATTTCCTTGCTTAAAAGATTTAAGGTAAGACGACTGCCTTCATCTAGAGAATTCCACTTCTGTTGCATGGCTAGTGCATTCGCCTCTCTCTGAAGTAATAATGAGTTACTTTTGGCCTATGGAAAGAAACGTATTAGTTACCAACCATGTATTGTCAAATGGCAAAATAAACCAGCCTACCAAAGGAACAGTTCCCCTGGTAGATGGATAACTATGTTTTCCTTCAATGCATTTATTTTGTTCTGCATTTGCTGACAGGTTATCAGGCTCATCAGTTTCTCCCCAAAATGGCCTTGCTAATGTCAGTGGAACAGCTCATGCTAGCAGTCTTTATGCATCATACTAAGCACTGCAGGACTGGCACCCAGTTAACCTTTATTGGTCATTCTATCAATTATACTATATACTATTTTCTGTAGGCGACACTAAGAAAACCAATTTAAAATCACTTTACTAAATCACTTTTGTTTTAATTATTAAAAACACATGATATAATTTCTCATCTTACCTGCTGTAATTCAATACTCAATAGATCTCCAGTGCTGGAATGCTTTCGGTGACCAGACAAATCTGCAACTATGAACCTGTCCCTTCAAGAGAAAGAAGGCAAAACTAGGAATTAAAAACAAGTTCTCTAAATCAAAGGCCCCATAAACTTCATTCATCTATCAGTGTTAGATTTTTGGACAGAAACTCTATGACTAAGATAATGCACTCTTCACATTCATTGGGGCTCACAATACCCCAAGATGTTATACAAAACAAACATCCTTATTTTACATATGGGTAAAATGTGGCAAGAAAACTTGAGAAGCAACTCGAGATTGCAGATTTTGACATGACAGCTTGGCAGTACCTGACTCCAGTTCTCTGACTAGGTCTCTCAAGGGATATGTTGCTAGTAATGGGGTATTATTAGCTGCATTAAGTATTAAAGACTACATAAGCTTTAACCTAGTTTTTCCAAGGCCTTATACTTGATAGAAAACATTTTACTTTAATTTTTACTTTAAAATTAAGAACATCTATTAATAGTTCCAGATTTTTTCCCCGCCAGATTCAGGATTTTGAAGAACACTAAGGTATAGACAATTCTTTTAACAGAACACAGAAAACAGTCCATACCGTTCTGCATAACGTGCTGATGAAGCAGAATCTGAGCCATAGGCACTCCATCTTGAGTCAACAGCATTGACATAAGGGACATAATCTGTAACAAATGAAGACACAATTCATTATCCTCTCTGTTCTTCAAATGGGTTATACAGATATTGTAGCTCTTTGAATCTTCACTGCTGTAGTAAGCATGAAGGGGATGAAATGCTCATGATGTATGCTACACTGTTATACAAAGCTTATACTTGTACCTGATACACTGATGGGTTTAGTAGCACTTCCTTGGGAAGCAGTGGCCTGAATAGGATCTGTTGTGTGATAACCTGTGCGGGATGACCTGGAGATTGCACCCCACTTGGAGATGATCGGTCCGTCGCTGAATGGGATTATAGGATCTTCTTCCTTTGCCCTTCTCTGAGTTTCAAATAAATGCACTCTCCTTTTAACATCTCCGCTGTCCAAATCCTACATATTTAGGAGATAAAAAGATACATGGACTCACTTGAGCTTATTCAGGTTCTTCAGTTGGCCAGTAACTTTCTGATTATTGTTCCTGAATACCATGCTGTAAATCTGTCCAACTAGAGAGCCAAGATGGGCCTCCACGATTTAACTATTATTGCCCTTTAATGGCAAACTGACCACAAGAAAGCTACCACCATTTCTAGAAGAAGTAATTTTGCCTTTCCAAGCTTGTGTTTCCAGGCAGAAAAAGTTCCAGTATGCTTAAAGATCCACCAGCACCCTTCCTGCACTTGAAAGAGGCAGTATCAAAGAAGGCTTGAGATGAGACTTGATTACACCTGCTTCATAGAATATAAAGGCAACCTGCCACACTACATAGCAGGAAGTCTCCAAAAAGCATGAGCTCTTACACCTCCAGAGGTGACCTGCATTCCACAATTCATACTACCTATTTTTTGTACCTATTTTCACAGATAGCTTTTTTCCCCCTCTCATGGCACTACATTCTGTCACTGAAGTACATACACAGTTTATTTACAAAACTGGGAGAAGACATTCCGAACAACCTCAAATGGGCAGAACTGATTCAAAATACTAAGAATAGAAGCTACCAACTTTTAAAAGAAGCCTTGTTTAACCAAGCAGAAGACACTTCAGCATGTGAGTATTATAACACTAATGAGGTAACATGCAGAAAACCCCTACCATTAACACGGCATTTGAATTGGCAATCACATCCTTGGGCTCTGAGTCGATAGCATTTATACAAGAGCCAATAGTGCCACAAGACCACGGTGAATAGTGAGAGAGATGGTCTTCCTCAAATTTAGTTCCACTCAAATCACTGACATTTTCTGAGAACTATGGAAAAGGGAATAAATAAGCAGTGAATAATAAAACCAGGGAATTCAGTCTTAAAATAAGAAAAGACATTTACTGCTGTTAAATTATTTCAGAAGTCAATCATGGAGTTCTAGCCGTATTCAAGACTTGACTTAGGGACAACATAACCCATTTTTGACTCATTTAAACCAGTGCAGGTGACAGCTGTCAAAGAAGAGCAAGCTTTGCCACTACAAATAACTGCCTGGACTGCCAAGACAGTGACACTGATTTCAGCCTCACATGCTAGTGGCAGGTTGCTTCAGGCAAACCACCTACAGTAATTAAACTGAGAGGAAGCCATGCATTTTCCTTTAATGTGTAAGCCAGTCGCAGATAGAAATACGACTTTGAACCCTTCAACTTGGATGAAAAGGGCTATATATATCCTGATCTACCTTGAGCGCACCCACAAGGGACTTCAGGTACTCCTGCTTCTCAAGACTTTTTTCTGAATAATCAGAGTCTAACACCTCAAATATGGTCAATAGAATTGTCAAACCACAGCAAAGAGGGCTTGGCACAGTAGTTCTCAAACTAGTTTCTTGGATAGGTTTAATTTACACATTAGAAGTACACAAAGTAAATATCACAAGATCTATTTCCCCCCCACCAAAATCACACTGTTTCTATTTGCTCAGTTCCATGTACAGAACTTAAAAGTACACAATGTTCTACCAATGCCCTTTGCTACTTTTAAAAGTTATGTATTCTCTGGGACTTGACAAGCATTCCCAGCTTGATTCAGTCTATTCATCACCTTGTAATGCCATCTGGAGTATGAAAAGGAAGGTCCTTCTTAGTAGAAAACAACTGCTCCCTACACAAAAACCTGGAGGCTCACAGTGCTAATTCAGTAACATTACATTTCCTTCAGTGAGGGCAAACTGAATCACTTCATTTCTTGACCTTTTTTCCCCACAATCATGTTCAGCATCACATTAATATCAAATTGAATGTATTTGTTAATAGATATTACTTTCCTTTTGCTAGAAGATTTAATTTTATGAGCAACAAGTAGTAGGTGGAAAACCTTTACTAGAACTATTGACTGACATCTTAAACAGGAAGGGAAGATAAAGAAGTCCTTTGGCTTCCCACCTCTGTGCTGAAATCTACGCTGAAGAGAGGAGAAGGTGGTGTTGGAGATGGTGTTGCCATAGGAAGGGTTGACGACACCAGAGGAGTTTTCTGAGTGTGGTACTGTGCCCATTGCTCCGGCTTCCGTCTTAACTGCTCTTCATAACCAGTCTTCAAATGACCACAAGGCTCCTAGCAACAACAAATATACGACTGCATACCTGATCATACTATAATCAAAAGGCAAATACCTGCCAAGGACACACCTGGACCCTCAGATTCCCTTGGGTCTTTAACCTTGCACTGATACCACTTGAAGAATTTCACAAGGATCTGGAGGAGGACCTTGCCCATATAGCAGCTCAAATATTAAATATGTAATTAATTCAAGCAACATGCATGGGAACTAGAGAGGCAGAGGGGCTCTCATCCTAATGCAGATCAGTCTATTTTACAACCCATTTTATCATGGATAAAAACCCCAGAGCTTTGTCCAGGTCCCATGTTGATTACTGTAATCCCAAATAAAGATAAGACATCTATGATGACTATTTGCCAACTTTGCAGTAATGGCCTTCAGAGCCAAGGCTACCTCTTTCCCTTTCTGGCTCACTTACCCTTGGTAAAGGCACAGTCCTCTGTTCGTTTGGAGGTTGACAAGCCACAGAGTAATACCCATCCAAAGAGTTGTATCTCTCACGTAATGATGTCTGATAGACAGATGAGTGCATCACATCCATGGGAGGTAAAGAATTGCTCCTAATAATATCATCTCGTGGGTACATCTGTGGGCGCCAGATGCGCCTGCTGTCATAAACTGGAGCATACATTCCAGAAGGGACAGGAGGAACTGGTCCATACGGCTGCGGAGGAGGAGGTTGGTAAGGAGAATTCAGTCGATCTCGAGGGGGAAATGTACTGTAATGATCGGCATATGGCACGGAAGCAGGTGGGAGGGAGGATTCTGGAACGTTATTGGACCTCACAAAGCGAGGAACACAAGGAGCCACACCAGCTGGTACTGTTGGAGGTGGTGGATAATATCCTTAAAAATTGGAAAAAGGCATATTTAATGTAACCACAAATGACCCACAATTTAACACCACCTAAAACTGTAAATATTGTTAATAAGTACCTTTAGAGAATGAAGAGTCACACTTTACAAACCTGTTACTGGCCCTATTGTTTTCCTGTGGAATGCTAATTTCACATATGACAACTGTATTTGGAGATGATGCGCTGACCCTTTTCCACCTTGACCCAATTGCCATTGCGCCTATGTACTATGGTATAACATATGTACCATATGTAACTGAAAAGACAGCATCCTACACAGTTCTTTACACAGGAGGTTAAAATGACCAGATTAGTATTCCATTAAGTTCATCTGACATTAACAAAACAAACATAAAACATTGAGATAAAAGTTATTTCTCAGAATTCAGGCTTATCTACAGAAAGGTTCAGAGCTGTTTGTGATTCAGTGCTCATCTCACTCACCTGTCTGTGGGTACTGTGGAACTTCATATGATAGCTGAGTCCGGGGATCTTGGAAATATTGAACGTTATCAGAATGTGGAGGGTAGACAGGTACTCTGGGAACAAACGGGCTGGATTTTGGAGGCACAGAATTAACTTCTGTTCCAATATTAGGAGGACCAGCTGAGGTAGCTGCTGCCTGGCTTACAGGAGTCTTGGGTGGAGAACCAATTTTACTGAAAAGGATTACCAAGAAATCATTAGGCAGATCTTGACTTATTTGTTAGTCATCTCTCCATGTACACTCCCATGTAATGTGCAAATTTGGGCTATGTAATTTCCTCTGGAATTTTGTTTCTCACACCCCAAAATGATCCTACATCTTAGACTTCCATCTAAGAGAACTCAAAAGTGGATATAAACGTTTTGATATATAACCAGAAGCTTACATACCACTTGTAAGTGCACTGTAGTAAAGACAAAAGCTTTGAAAAGCTGTTTAGAGCCTCAAGGCCTTCCTGGGGAAGTATCTAAAAAGTTTTAAAGGCAAACCCCAGAACTAGGAGGTTTCCAAGATTATTAAGGAAGTGTTAAGGTGCACTGTGTGCACCCTTCCTGGTTTCAGGAAATGTCAGATTTTGAATGCAAAGATTTTGTTTTATTTGTATGACATAACCCAACAGTAAGCAAGATACAAGACTGAGAATAACAGAATAAAAGATAAATTGAGAGATTGACCATTTCATCCCTATGGGATGGGAGTATTCAACAGCTAAAACAACTGATGCTGGCTCTGACAGCTTGAGTCCACAGACTGTGTGTAACTATACCTGCACTGCGGTATATCTTACACAAGTCTGCAGTCAGTGAGCACCAACAACAGCAAGCCAGGACCAGAATTCAGCATGTATTGCTTGCCACCACAAACTCCATGATAATCCACAAGCAAAATGTTGTGCTTAGTTATCTTTATGAATAAAGGGTACCTACTTTTCAGGTAGTGATTCTGTAGGGGACCCAGAAACATTCTGGCCATTGGCTCCAGTCTTCCCTCCCTTCTTGGTGTTCTCCAAAGCTCTCAAGGAGGTGTCTGCACAGCGAGGGATCAACTGGGGAACCCCACTTTCCAGATTAGCTATTCCGTTAGTACTTGGCACCATCTTCCCTGTTGCTTCAGGGCTTCCTATGACAGAAATTACGTTTCCTGTTGTGGTTGAGACGGTGCTATTTACGCCAACTTTATTTAGAAGGGGGAATGTTCTCACTGTTGCACTGATTTTTTTGTTCCTCAAGCGGTATCTATAAACAAGCACATGTAAAACAGACAAAAGAAGATTTTAAAAGTGCTTATTACGAATTTTAATGTATCTGTAAAACTAGCAAAAGGAAGGGATTGAGAGGAATGTGGTAGGAACAAAATCACAAGACTCCAAAACATGGTTCCCGTTTTCAACAATCTGCAAACTGAACATCAACATCTTCACCTATAACAGAAAATCACCTCTCCTCTTAGAAGATCCACTTCTGCAGTTCTTGGCAAATGCTTTTGGGTGAAAACAGTTTCAAGAACGCACACGTTGAAATAACTCACTTTATTCCTTAAAATGTAATTAACATTCTCCACCTTGTAGTTGACATAAGCAATTCCTGACAGACCCTGAGCCTAGAGTTCAGGACAGGAAAGTTTACTTTATGTGGGGTAAAAAGAAAATAAAACTGGAATTAGCTTGCAGGCTTTATTGTAGTTTCAATTTTATATAAAGTTATGACTTCACGGGATTCACAAATCCTTCCAAATGAATAAATGGAGAGAAGAAACTGTTTTCAAAATTCTATGGAGATTCTTGGATTTAAATTAAAAAGAAGAAAAAAAAATGAAAAGAAGAAGAAAATCTCCCAGACTCACTTTTCGAGCTCTTCCTGAGAATGAGCAAATGTACAGTTTGTTCCTCTTGGACATCCCCCTTGCTGTCGAAGGTCTCGGCACATACTTGTTTTATATTTGCTATTTGGTTGTGGCTGTACAAAGACAAAATCAAACCACCAGACATTCCTTTTACAACCCAGCAGACAATTCCTATAAAAGCAGACTTAAAATACACAAGCCACATTCAAACTGATTTTACATTTTGCATCTTTAATCAGAAAATTAAGGAAACATCTTGCTGATGGGGTAAACACTACACCATCATATGGATCTCACTATAGCAAGCTCTGCTGCATTCCGTATTTAGAAATGTTAAGTTCTCAAAACCTGAATGCAGTACTCCATCAATTATTCCACAGACAAGGCCATAAATGTTTCAAAGCAATAGTAACTTCTCAAAGTTACATCATTCAGTAAATGTACATTAAGTCATAAATAGTTACCTGTGGAGTTTCATGGCCTTTTCTACTGTAATTCTGAATGAAATCCACTAGTCCATGTACCACAGTCTTTACAGCAACCATTGCATTTTCCAGCTGCTCCCATGTTGGAGATGCTGCATCTAAAAATCATTAAAAGCAAGCTTGTCATTCTGACAATAATTCCAGTAGTAACATAAATAAGAAGAGGCAACTCTTCTAGTACTTCAAAACACCAAGTACTAGGACAGAACTCAGAGAGCCCTGAAGAAGAGTTTATTATATAGTAATAGATAGGAATTTCATAAACAAGGAATGGAAGTTATCTTAATAATTTTCATTGTTATATAAAAGAAACATCAAAAGAATGTTTAAAAAGCTTCATTTGCATACCTGGGTTTGGATCTATGTTTGCCAGGAGCTCTAAATGAGGCCTCAGCCTGTTTAAGTTTGCAGGATCTCCCGTGCGCTGCAAGACAATTGTCAATTCTTGTACACTCTTTGCAAAAGACTCTGGAGATTGGAGCTGAAAACAAAGCAAGCATTAGTGTGCTGCATCTTACAACCATGAACTACTGATCTGAGAAAGATTTTCATTACACTGGTTTCTAAACGCATTATGTAGTGTCTTCAGATGGCATATAGAGAGTATCAGTGGAGAGAAATTTTATTTCTCATCTCAGAATCTGCCCTATGAAGCTTCATCATAAGACACATAAAAGGGAATTAGTCTTAAAGTACTGAACATCAAAATGCCTTCATGTGAAGAAGACGCTGTAGTGGGAAAACCCCTTTCATTCTAGTTTAATTAATATTTTATATAACTAAAGACAAAAAGTTAACTCAAGCATTTCTTGAGATTTTTGGTACAACATTTAATAGTCTAACCTAATCCTACAAAGATACTAAAATCATGCCTTTGACAAACCTTGTCAATAATGGATTGCATGTGTGATTTATGTGCCAAGTCACCATACAGAAGAGAAGACCATTGTTCTGGTGATATTCGAAGTCCTGCTTCCATGGCAATGTGAACAATTTGGGCATCATGTTCTCTCCGCAAAGCCTCATAACTCCGAAACTCTTCTTTAAGCTGCATCAGAGAAGAGTCTTCATCCCTTTTAGTGACCTAATAAACAGGAATAATTAAATACTCTTCCTTTAACAAAAAAATCTCCAAGTCCATTAGAAAAAGAGTTATACAGCACAAATCACAAAAGTATTGGGTTTGTATATTCAGCATATACTTTGGTTCTTTTCCACATATTCAGCCTCATAGCCAGCAGTGCACAAGCAGATGCACCAGCTCTTCAAGTTTCTACAGGATCACTGATGCAAAGCTACAGCAACTTGTTACTTCCAACTACAAAGTAATCAGATTGCTTAAGTCACAGTTACATATTTAGTAATTCTACTAGTAGTTTTTGCTACACAGTATTAAAAGATGACTTAAAGAAACAGGAAAGCCTCTAGAAGCAACTTAATAAAAAGGACAATTTTAAGATACTGACATTTTAAAATTAGAATATTTAACTGAAAGCCCAGTGTAAAAGTTAAGTAAAACTCTTAGGTTAGGGAAGGTATTTGTCATAAATGAGAGCAACAGGTCTCGTTAATGTTTAATGATGTTGTGATAATCATGTTTTTAATTGTGATTCAAAACGGAACAAAGACCCATGGAATTAACTTTTCATTCTTCTCCAGATATAAAGAGTTGAGAATATTCAGTTTAAACAAGCCACCCTTATGTATCAAAAATAAAGAACCTCTTCAGTGTGAAGTGGCCAGATACAGGCAAAAGAAAGGCTAGAGAGTGACAAATATGTCGGAACACAAGGCTGGAGCTCAGGCTGAGAGCAATCTCTGTCTGGTGTCCCTCTCTCACACCTGATGGTGGGGCCAGGGAATTTCCCAGTACTACATTTGTTCCTTTTGCAGGGAGTTTTAAATATCAAACTACTACTTCATGACAGCTCTAGATAAACATCTCATAGTCTGTACTATTTAAATGTGTAGAAACTGATTACAGTCTGTACTATTTAAATGTGTAGAAAATGAATTTATGTAACATTTCACAGGTGAAAGACACTAATCCTAGGTCAGGCTCTCTGGAGCTGCACTAATGCACAGTAACGAACTTCAAACATTGGTATTTTACCTTAAAGCAAGATGCTCTATACAGTAGCTGCACAACATGACCAATGCTTGTTTTAGAGGCCTGAGGAAATCTTGGTTCTAGCCTTTGCACAACAAAAAGTACCAAAACTTTTCTTGAGAGTGCAGAGCCATCTTCCAGTGCCAGTAATACAAGTTTCAGTGCCTCCTCTTGCATAGCTTTAACACACAAGAATAAAAGATGAAACACATTGCCAGAAATCAGCAAGGCTATCATATATTAACATGATAAGCAGGCATCTGAATCATCTCGAATGTAATTCCTTATTATTTTTTATTTCCCTAATCATAAGAAAAAAGCTTTGTAAGCATTTTAAGAAGTTTGCTGATTTAGAAGTAGTATTTAGAAGCACTCAAAGCACAGCAAACAAAAAGCTATGACTAATTTTCAGTAATAAACACATCAGTAGTGCAGGTTCTATATTTTATTCCACTGTGCAATCATGCAGCCTTTGTAATTCTGTAGTGTCTTATCAATGCTACAACATGGAACTAGAACATAAATACAGGGACAGTGTGCAGGAATGCTAACATCAGTTACTGGAATAAAAAGAGGACTAATTTCAGTTTAAACATAATTTCCTTCTCATTTCTGTGCATGCTTCAGCAGCACTCAAAGAATTTGCTGTTTCTATCAAAGTTATAAACATAATCATTAAAAACTTCAAGATTAAAGTATGCTGCAACTTGTTATAACAAGGTACAGCTGAATATACTCTGCTGCAGGCTGTACAGGGACCTTACCTGGTCCTAGAAACTGGCATCCTCGTGCCCTGACAGCAGCCCAAAGATTGGCAGAAAGCTGCTGAGGATTTTGGTGCTGCAAGATCAGTTCTGTGACAGTTCTCTCTCCCAGTGATCGAGCTGCTCTCATAGCTCTGACCCGACCCTCTTCCTCCACCAGCTGACAGTTCACCAGCGTCACAAGCTTCCTTTGCATTGGACGGCTCAGTGCACTCTGATTCAAGCTTGCAACACCTTCAAAAGGAAGGGAGAAAAGGCAAACTATCACTTTTATCCATACAAATGTATCTGTATAAGACAAAAAGGTGTAGTAATAAGTGTCTTTCTTTAGGACCTGGACACTAGTCACAGGTATCTTGCCTTCTCTTCAGCAACTCTGTGTTATCAAAAAGGGTTTTAAAGTCTTACATGGAAATCAAGCCCATCCTTTAAGGAAAGTTCAGCTTTAGTACAAAGTTAGCCTCAAAGTAGTACTACTAAATAAAAAAAGAGTATCTCGTGAACTTAAATTCTAAAAAAACCAAGTGCCACAAGTGTGAACAAGCTTTCAAAGCCATACAGGAAACTTTATCACAAAAATGAGAGGATTATCCATTTGATGTCTAAAATCAGTGCTGAAAACACAGTGCTGTTCAAAGAAAGCTTCATCAAAATTCCACTCTTCAGCAGAGACTCACCTTTCCCTCCACTTAATGGCTTTAAGTAGAGTGCCAAATCCTCAACACATTTCTTTGCTACTTCATAATGTTTGTTCTCTCCCACATTACTCAACTTTACTGTCTGATGATCAGGTACCTAAGAAAATGCAATGGGGAGGAAAGAGAATAATTATACATACCAGGCTACCTGATATGCCTTTGACAGCACCAACATTGCTACTATTAAAATGTAACACTGCAGATTTACACTGCTTTTTAGAGAAGTGGGATACGGGACCCACCAAAGGTATGGAGAATGTAGTAAAGAATAACAAAAAGGGATCAAGATAAGGGTGGGGGTGATGAAATGATTATTTTTGTAAGTACTCAACGTGTTAAGAACATAAGTAGGATAGAAAACAATAATGGAGGTCTAATGAGAAGGTACTTAAAAGATGAATGAAGAACACAAGATTTGACAGGATGATCAGTGTAAGAGATCAGCATGATTTACTACAGAGACACAAGAGAAGTTATAAAACAAACAGGCAAGAAAATAATATGAAAAAAATCAAAAGCAAAGCTAAAAAAATCATTTAAGCATAATTTGGGCACGCTGAAATCTTCAAGGAGAACTAGCAAACCTCACTTGCTGGAAAAAACCCAGAGGAACAAGGTCAGACAGCGAGAACAGAGGGAGTATAAGTCACAAAACATTAAATTGTTTGAAAGACAGTGCAAGAAGTTAGAAGACAAGGAAAATAACTGTTGTAAGATCAAGGCTGCGATCTGACACAAAGTTAGAAATGAAAAAATGAAAGGAACCTGTGAACTTAAGAAACAAAACCACTTTGATACAGTGTTACTACCAATAGCCCTGTCGAGGCATGCATGCCATAAGCAATTAAAAGCCATGTAAAAAGTATCTTCTTACTGTTTCTTATGTTACTTAAAATGCCCAGATGTTACAGGAAGAATAATATCTTAAAGCATATGACCCAGCAGAAGCTGAGCAGACTTATTTAGTCTCTGTAAGGCACAGTACTGATTATATAATCACTGTTTTGCCACTGCTACAAGACAGTGCAGGGAATGTTCCTGGCCTGATTAGCTAGTGTCTGAAAACACAACTGGAAACCCATCATCCTGCATACTTCAAAAACCCAAATAAGACACACTTCTGAAAGCTGGTTGAAGAGTGAGCTACTTTTGAACATGTGACATGCAGAAACCAGACCCCTTGCAAGCATACGATGAATGAGTGCGATCTGTAGGTTCACTTTTCTAATGACAGTTGTGACAGAACTATTTTGTAATGGTTTTTTTTTTCTCCAGTCACAGTTCAAGAGCCTTTTTAAACCAGGATTCAGCTTACAATGGCTACATTTTATGAGGATGGTTCTGCAAATGGTTTGGACTTCTAAATATAACAAAGTTTGTGTCTTACCGATTTTTTAAGGCTAAAATGAGGGAAAAAGACCAGGACCCATACTGCAACTGGCATATTAATGGTAATAACACAAAGTGGCAAACCAAAGTGCTGCTTAAATCATACCTGGGCTCCAACTAGCTGGAGGAGTGCAAAGTTTACAGGAAGAACATCGATGTCCGTGTTGATGGCAGTCTGGTCGAAAGGACATGCCTTGCGATGGAGCTTGTTCAGGCAGGTCTTACAGACAGTGTGAGAGCAACCTAAGCTGATGGGTTTGTGCACATTCTCATCAAACTCGTTGTAGCAGATTGGGCAGGACAGAAATTCTGTCCACTGAGCTGCCTGCACAGGCATTGTGGAAGCTGGACTCTTGTTTAGCAGGCTAGCAGACCATTATTTCTCTGTACTATGTTTTGGCAGCTGTAAGTGAATAACAGAGTATTTAAAACATGCTTTCTGGTAATTTAGAATGATTTTTTTTCATTAAGAAATAAACAAACCACCATTGCAGTATTTTACAGAAGAAACCCAAAACCTTATACTGAAGTAATCAAAAACCCCAACCTCACGTTAGCTTAATAAATGTACCAAAATGGGCTCATGAACTGAACTGATGCAGACTGCAAGTTGAACCTATTCACAACAAATGACATTAAAGTTCTTCTCACAGGATTAAATACATCTTTAGTGTAGGAAGAGGAAGACCTTTATTGGCACAGAACACGTAAAAGTATGAATCACAGTAACCATCTCGCACTATCTCATCTGACTGAGTTTTCAAAACCCTGACAGCACTCCCTGGTTGTAGAATGGGCCTGGCCATTCTACCCAGAGAAAACACAGAATTTGTGTATGTTTTTGGGAGGGGCAGTCAAACGTTATTTCCATTTGAAACAGAGCAATGCCTCCCTTCTGCAGAGCCTATTCTGACTTCATCAGACACCAAATTAAACACAGCTTTGCCTTTCTTTCTGTAAAAGACAAATCAATTCGCAAAAGCTAAGAACCACAAGAAAACACTAAAAGAATAAGAGGTTAGATTTTAGTTTTATGATTCTCTTGTGTTACTTCCCCTTTTCTCCCAAGAACCCATTGAAGTGCTCAAGGGCAGAGACTGCTGTATTCAGTTTTGCTTTTCACATCTCTACCTTACACAGGACTGCAACTTCACTTCCACAAACTCACAGCGAGAAAATCTCCGTTGTGTTGAAATTCCAGGTATTTGGGACAAAGCTTACAGTAAGGCAAGCAGTAATTTCACCTGGCTTGCTATTAAGTCTTGAAACACCTCACGCTGTGCAGTAGTGCCTTGAAAACTGTTTACATAAATGTGTTCCAAAGAAAACATGGATTTATAGAAATTGTTCTGAAGGACATCCCACCTTATATAACTTAAGTTCTTGGTAGAGATAACAGGCCTAAGTAGTTCATCGAAACCGTTCACATCATGCAGACTGAAATCCACAGCTCCATCTACGAGCTGAGCAGCCCCACCCTTCGCTGCAATGTGCAATGATGTTGACTTTTCTATGCAACCTGGAGACCAGTTAGTTCACTTCAAGGCTATGAACAAGCTTCTCCTAGCAGCTTGTTAGAAATGCAAACACACAAATGCTATAATTACATGTTTAACATCCTAGTTTTTTTCCTCCAATGATGGAAAAAAAGTAATTGCTTTGAGGAAGCTGAGCTCTTCTCTCCAGTTTGAATCCAGTAACTCTGCTGCAATTCCATTGTTGGTTGTGCTACAGTTTAATGAATGCTAAAGTATTGGACCATTGAAATCATTATGAGGACACCAAATAGACTCTATCTGTGGATGTATTTTATGTTAATTAGAACCATCTGTTTAGAAACGCTATTTAGTACTATGAACATTCAGTGCCCTTTAAGTAACAGGATAGTTGTACAAGATGTCCTTATCTCAGCAAGCTTTTCAATATTATGCAGTGATTTTCCCCCCAGAATGAATTCCCATAGTAAGTGCAAAACACAACAAACTGGAAGTTGAACTGATCCCTTCCAAACCAAACTGCTGAGGCAACACTTTCAACATAAGCCAGAATATTCACATGCATTACACAAAACTGATTTTCACCCAACTTCTAGGAAAGCACAATCAAAGCTCTTGCAGGCAGGAAAAAACTGCAGCCCTCTTTACTCTATTACTACATGTGTCTTGAAAGGAAGGAAATTCAAAAGCAAAACAAATAATAGCAAAAGCAAACAATGAGTCAACATGCCTAGAAAGATTTTAATTCCTCTACGAAGAATCCCACCATTTCCTTCAGCACATCCACTCCAGCTTCCCTACCAGAACAGCAGGACAAGAGAGGCACAGAACGGTAGCGTGAACTTGCAGCAAACACTTCCCTTAAAGCTTTTTGCCAGCATCAAGCTAACAACACCAATACTACTGCTGACCCAGGAACCAGACCAGTGTCCTTCCACCTGGCTGTGCCACACAGGTAGCAGCACAAACTGGACAACTCAGGAAGTGTGCTACTGCCATGACTCACACAGCGAAAAGTTGAAGGAAAGGCCAGTCCACACCAGCTCAGTTGCTGGTACGTCACTAACAAGCTAAAAACCAGTCTCTGTTTCCACACTGCTCAGTAATTACCTCCAATGCAGCAATCTCTGCTCTCAGACAGTCCCCACATTCAGTTTCCAGAGATACTCACAAGAAACAGCCACCTTTCTACTGACAGGCTTTTAAAATAGAGTTGTTTGTTTTCCTGACCAGCATAGAAACTAACTCAGCAGATTCTTCCAGTGTGCACCACTGAATTTAAAGATCTATCTGTGGATATTTCATCCCCATAAATGACAGATTCCACTAAGCATGTGTTGTCCTTCAGATTTCTTGACAGGAAGAAATCTAATTAAATCAGCAAACAGCTGAGGAGAGCTCTCAATTCCTAAAACTTCCAGCAGCCATATGCAAAAGGAGGCTCCATACTCTATTAAGCCTGCCAGTTCTCCTGCCACTCCTGTGCTCCAGTGTGTTAAGAAACAATCTCCCGTCTCCTCATTATCATGTCAGCTCCTCCAAAAAGCGTAAGTCCAATGTTTAATAGATTCCTGCTCCTTGTCAGAAGCAGCGTATTCCAGGGATGTCCTCTTGAAGTACAAATTGAGCCAGTGCTCTAAACTGAGCAAACACAGGGAGGAGAGAATGTAGCAAAGAGGGTGAAGTAGAAATCATTTTGGGTTTGTAGTAGCGCTCTGCAAAAAAAAACAACAAACCATCAACTAACCCAAAACCCAAGAAAATGGCTGACACAGAAACTGGCCAAACATACAAGGTAATGGTGAATTTTGATTGAAAGCTCTTTAGATAGCATAGTTACAATAAATTTTACACTACTGCATTTAGAAGCAATACTTCATGTGATAAACTGGAAAACACACGAGCCCAAGTTCCGAGGTTACACGACAGATAAAAACTATTGCAGTGGAGTAAATTTCTGTTTCTAATACAGCAACACTGTATGCCCACTGCAGGGCTGGCTGCAATGGAGTGGGGTAACAGTGGTAAATGACTGATTCTCTCATGATTTGAGACCAGAAGAATATTTGATGAATCTGGGAGGTGGGGCAGAAAGAAGGAAAGGTGAAGCCCCCAAACCTCCCTCGAACAGCCTTACCATTTACAATGGATGGAAGCTGTAAGATTGAGATGTTCTTATTCTACATTAGCTTTTAGCTACCTAATCCTACGTCATTCTCTACAACTAATTAAAGCCATTGTAGTTACTCAACAACTTTTGGACAATAAATATTGTTTAATCCTGATTTCCTTAAGAAACCAAGCTTAGGTGACCATGCTGTTCTATTAGTCTGCTCCTCTCCCACACGAACCTCCGGACCCCTGGACCACTTTTCTGCAGATGTGATTTGAGTTGCATCATGTCTGAAATCTGCATACATTCCATGAAAAATGGTATCTGGAAAAACTTCCAATTCACACGTCTCGGGAAAGGCCACAGCACCAGGCTCAGCAGTTACTGTCTGTCTGCTTCTCTGATCTATCGGCACACAGCACCAGCCAACAAATATCACATTTTGTTCAGATATAATAAAGGGCTATTTGGAAGGTAGAGACACGACACAAATCTGCAGGAATTCCAACAAACCTTTAAACACAAAGGGCTTGGTCTGTGAAGAGCAGTGCTGGATGTCTGGCTCTTGGCCTCCTGAATTTGGTACCAATTCATTAAGCAAGGCAAGGACAGGTTTCAGAACCTCACAGTAGGAGTCTGAGCCAGCATTGGACTGAACACTGCCTGCACTGGCTAATTAGCAACTCATGACAATGCTTTATCTTAGTTTCCTTTTATCCAGGGCTTAGAGGCCTAACACTAGAAGGAGATCTCCACACCAGACGTTATCAACCTCAGGAGTTCAACAACCTTATACCAAAACAGGGAAAGGGTTTTCTTTAGTTAGTGATGCTGGTGTCGCCTTCCGTCTTCATTCAGTTTCATTTCTCACCCACACTAAGATATACAAATTCAATTACTTCTGAATACTTTTCACCCATCTTTTCATCTTACAGAGAAGAATGCAAACACATGTTTAGAGATGGGGCAAGTTCAGTCCCTCCCCTTGAAGCTATTCCATGAAAGGACTGAATATTCAAAGACAACTGCAGCCTCATCTTCAGCTACCCAAGCAGAAGCCTTGGATTTTGCTGCATTTTTAAAGACCTTTTGTTCATATTTATTAATCAATTATTCAATCCAACCTAGGGATAGTTCTTTCAGCAAGGAACAAAACATTTTGGTGCCTCTTCAGCAACTACATGCCCCAGATCCTACGTAACATGGTGAGCATGAGGCTCAGCCTAAGAACACTTTCTTCTCTTCAAAGGGAAACAGGTTCAACACAAGGCAGGGATCAATCCCCTTCAAAGCTCCGCATTGCCTGGAGTCAGGACATGTACAAAAAGTGATGCACACAAGTTTCATTCCTTTTCAAGGTTGAAAACTTGAACGCACTTCCCCCTTAGCCTAGGCAAAAAGAGAAGCAGCAGTACCACCAGCAGCCACGTCTGAACAGAAGCAGCCTTCTTGCAGACCTAAGGGGGAGCTGCTCAGGCCTACTCCAATCAGGTCCCTTGTGGGACACAGGCAAAGCGAAGTCTAATAAGCAGAGCTTGTACTAGAACATGACATGGGATAATTCTGTCACTGAACAAAGGAAACTCTTCTCTAAAGATGAAGGAAAACCTTGAATAACTAGTGAAATTACACATCATTTTCACAAATTAAGGTAGTCCAAGTACAATCTCATTGTGGATTTACACCTAAATCTCAGAACCCAATTGATTTTTAGCCCTTGATATTGACTTGCTCCTAATGTTGACTGCACAGATCATGGTATTTTCTTTCCCTTTTTTTAAGTGACTCCATTTATGCAGGTTAATCATTTGTTTGCACTGCGAGGAGGTAGCTTGTTCAAACCTTCCTTCCTAAGTTATGTAGTTCTGAAAACATCCTGACTGGGTCAAAAACTTGGTGTCCACGTAATCAAATGATCGCTATTATTCTCTGAAACGGTAGAATCTTTTACTCATTTCTCTTCAAGAGCCACCATCAACAGCTCTAAAAACCTAGCTTCATTAAAAGCTTAGAAAAGGGCCACCCCATAATAGCTTTGCATCATTCAGCTATGACGGCTTGAAATGAAAATAAATCCTCTTTACAGAGCAGACTTGCTTATTTCTACATTCCATAATATCTGTCACATGTAAACCTGTGTATCACGTGCAAATTCTATATATAAAGTAGAATTTTTCATGACCATTAAAGACAGTATTCCAATGCGATATTTTCACTAAACACTAATACTACTCAAAGTATCTACTGTTCCAGTTTAAATTACAGAAAAGTTATCATCAAGAAATCTTGGTAACATGCCAGAATCACAGAATATCTCAAGTTGGAAGGGACCCATAAGGATCATTGAATCCAATACCCTGCTCCTTGCAGGACTACCTAAATCTAAACCATATGGCCAAGAGCATCATCTAGACATTCCTTGAACTCTGACAGGCTTGGTGCCATGACCACTTCCCTGGGGAGCCTGTTCCATGGACCAGCCACCCCACCAGCAAAAAGCCTTTTCCTAATGTTCAGTCTGAACTTCCCCGAGGCAGCTTCATTCCATTACCTCCTGTCCTAAATATATATGTCTGCCCAAACATATGTATTTATGTACGCCAAATATATAAATATATGCCAAATCACCTACAGGACGCTTCACTTGCTATCTTCCTACAAAACTGAAGTCCAGATCCACTCTGTCTCCCTAGAACATGTGGCTGAAGAATAAATCCTTATGAATGGGGGCACAGTTCACTAACACAGATTGAAGTTCATGGTGGCTCAGCGACCACCCAAGTTCACTGGGTTCAGAGGTAAATCTCCCCCACATCAACACTAGAGTCAGTGTATCCCCAACAGCTCACACCTGCTCTTTCCTGTTCCAAGTGTTGCCAGCAGGAATCTGTTACTAGATTTTAAGTTTCCTGTATACTTATGTAATGCCACTGTGGGCTTTTTTTGTGTTTCGTAGGTGTCACTGAAAGGAGAGCTTGTCCTTGCCTGATACCAGTTCAGCTCCTGTAACATTATTGACTTTTCAGGACTAACTGAAGGGCAAATAAACGAAACATTTCCTTTGCCACCAAAAGAACTCAGCTGAGCTTACACTGAAGGCAGAGAAAGGGAGTAATTTTCTAAGCAGATCTATATTGACACAATTACTTCAAGGGGAGATCAGTGAAGGATTCCTCACTCTCCATTAATACTTTCAGAGAATAAGGATCCTCACCTATGGCTTAGCTCCCAATGAGGTTTTTCCTTTTGAAACTATGTTTTGCAAAGGAGATATTCCATATTCTCACATTTTCCAAATCATTTTAATGAAATACTAATTCCATTCTGAGATATGCATGAGAAAACAGAAGGTTCCATAGGAGTCAGAAAACCTTAGAGTGTACAGAATACTTCAGCAGGCTTATGCATACAGATTTTTCCTTCCACTAGAATTGTCCAGTCAGGGAGGAAATCACTTCTGTTCATCCCATTAAGAGCTAAGCAAAACCTGACCAAACCTAAAGTAACGCACACCTAAGAAGACAAATGCTGGCAGCTGTTACCCTCTGGATGCTATAAACAATCTATCTCCTGTAAACCAACAATGCTTTAATTGAAGGAGATCAACACTCAAGATGAGGGCTTAATTTCAAGTTATCTCAAGCACTGACATTAGAACTGCAGGAATTTAATATTTTGGAGAGAAATAGCCATGACCTCAAACAAGACAGGACCAGAAGTTAATAAGAAACCTGTTCTTGTGGAAAGCTTTGCTTACATTGCAGAACCAAGCAGCTCATTAGAAAGGCACGCAGGTCTTGGGAAGTGATTGATTACAAAAATGAAGCATTCTGTGTTTCATGGAATAATATTTATACAAGCAACAGAAGCCCCAATTTCCAGAATTTCCACAGACGTTTAACACAGAGCAAAGGTCAAATTGCGGTATTTTGGTTAAGAAGAGCTATAGTTGTACGTGCTGGTCCTCATTTAAAACAAGACCTTTTCTGCCCCAATTACACGTTTTCACGCTTGTCATATGAAGGGCTGGGTTTAATTTTTGCTTCAACATTCTGATATAGCTGCAGTGGGCATGAAAGAACAATCACAGGAGGAGCTACAGGAACTATAACTTAACCCGACAAACCCTAGGTTTGAACTTAAAGCAAAACAGACTGAAATCAGAAATTTCCCTGGCTGGCAGCTTAAACTTTGTCATCATTTACCCTCACTTGGGTGTCACCCCAGTCCGAGCCTTGTAACCGAGAGCTCATCACTCTCCAACCACACCGTTGCCCTCTCTTAATGCTTCCTGCGCTTAACTTAAAGCTCTCAGCGCACCAGCAGAGCCAAGACACGCTCTTCCGGATCAGTTGTTTTGGGTTTCTAAGACACTTCAAACGTGACATGACAGGCGCAGTCCTAAGGCCCGTTTTCCACCGTGACTCTCCTCCACCATTACCCCGAAGCAGAGCTCCACCTGAGCAGGGCCGCTGCGGACGCCGGTGCAGCTCTCCGCAGGACACCACGGCACAGGCCGCCTGGTACTGCCGGCGCCGTAACCGAGAACCTCCCGGCCTCAAGCCCTCCGGTGCGGGCGCAGAGCGGCCCAGCCGCTCCCCTCGCCCCCCTCCGCCAGGCCGCTGTCAGCAGTCGCCGACCGCGCACCTGCGCCCGCCGTCATTCCGGAGCCACCACCACCAAATGGCTGCCCCGCGCCCCCGGCTGGCCCAGCGGCCTAGCGGCGACAGACGGGGGGAAAGCAGCCGGCAGCCCCCTCCCCCGCGCCGCAGCGGGGCGGCGGCGCTGACAGGCCGCGCTCGGCGGGCGAGGCCTGGCCCCGCTCCCCCGCCCGGATTCCGCAGTGCCGGGACCCTGCAGGGCACCGGGAGGCGGGGGAAAAAGGAGGAAGGGACGGAGGGAGAAGCGGGGGGGGTGTGCGGGCGGGGCCCCGCCGGGTCACCGCGTCCCCCGCGCCGGCCGCCCCCGCCGAGCCCGCTCCTACCTGCGAGGCGCGGGCGGCGGGGCCGGGAGCAGGCGGCGGCCCCGGCCTCTCACACGCCATGGGGCGGGCAGCGCGGCGCGGAGCGGCGGGGGCAACGGCGGGGGCCTCGGCGGCGCCGCCTCATCGCGCTGACAGCCGGGAGCGCCGCCACGCCCCCTCTCGCGAGACCCAGCGAGCGCAACGGCAGCGCCGCGCCACGCCCGCCACCGCCCCGCGCGTGACCGCCGCGGCGCATTGTGGGAGCCGGGCTTGGGGGAACTAACCATCGAGACGGAGGCACAGACGTGACGGTAGACGTTCGCCGCCGCCATGGGAAAGCGGAAACCATAGAGATAGCATAGTAGAGCGGCGGAAGACGCCGGCGTCAGCGCCCCCTTGTGGCGCGCCTCATCTGAGTGGCGCCTCAGCGCTGTGAGAGCTCGGTTTTCACTGACACTGTCGGTCATTTATTTTATATTCTAATTAATAACTTCATTATTATTAGCGCTAAGAGGGATGAGGGGCTTGGAGGACGTCTCTGGCGCACGTCGGCTGTCCTGATGCCCCCCCAGGAGGTGAGGCAACCTCAGGACCGGCATGAGGGAAAGCGCCCGGTTGGTGCTTCCCCACAGGAACAGGCACCTCGCTCCTCTGGTCACTCGCAAAGATCAAACCAGGGTCGTTAACCAGAGCCGAGGAGGTGCAGAGTTGTGATTGCCGAGGAGCAAGCGTTCTATAAGAAGAAATAGGTCAGCCTGACTCTTCTGAAGGACAGAAAACCCCGTTACTAAATGACCATGACTTGAACAACGTATTTTGTTTACAACTCGCCACAGCAAACAAAATTCTAAACACCAAAGTACACAGGTAATTATTTAGCCACGATTATAAGAAAGTATATGTATTTCTGAAACGGCATCTTGTTTGTATTTCATTTATTGTACTATGGCAATATGAGTGGTTACATGGATGGACAAGGAGAGGAAACACCTTTAACAGGAACGTGCACAAACTCGGGTTTTGTTCACAAAGCTCACCAAGACACTCGAGCCACTGAACAGAACATGCTGTTGGCCCATCGCACAACACAACTCTCCCGTGTTTACATGCAATACAACAGCAGACCAAAACAATGCATGTTCCTGCTCCCATGTAAGATGCACTTCAAAAGACCAGCCTGTTTCCTCCTTGGACACACAGGGAAGTACCTATGTATGCGCCCATCAAAATCAGTCAAACAAAAACCAAGGCATGATCTTCTGAATGATAACCATACACCTCCAAAAAATAAGTATTAACGGAACAAATCTCAGCACAGTTGAACCAAATCTGTCCTATGAATGCACAATACATTTATTTACTGAACTACAGTGATAGAAGCCCAATGTAAAAAGGATGGGGGAAGGGAAGTTAACTTTTTCCTTGTTTTATGACCTCTTCCAAGGATGAAGGAGTTTATTTTAAGTAACAAAGTCTGCAGACACAAATGTAAAGATACATACAAACTTGTACCTACACCCAAGTTAACATCTGTAAATATAGTAATGACAAGCATGGGTCTCAGCATGCTTTTGAAAATTAGACTTAATTTATATGCAATTAGGAACCAAAAATTAATGATATTCTGTGAAAAGCAAGGAAATAGCAACCACAGGGTCAGAAGGCTGTAAGCAGTGACAGAATCATAAATGCAAACAGAACACAGTGCTAAAATGCATTTTTGATTGCAAAACGTCAGGTGATCGCACTGTAGATGACTCCCAAACCTTTTAATTGTCATAATTCCTCTAGTTGAAAATCACTGAAGTAAAGCAAATTATTTAATATGAAATAATAGCAGAGATTGTGAAAGGTTGGGCCTTCTCCTTAAAGTACTGGATTGTGATTTTATCTATGTAGTAGTACAGGTGGTTTTATCTATGTAGTCAGACATTTTTGTGGATTTTCATAGCCAAACACAGGAATTGCCTGTTCAGACAACCTGGTTTTTGAGGAAGACACATGCTGCTTACCACAGCAAGGCCTGCTATGAACTGGGGCCTGCAAATTCTGCTGCAGCCCAACTAATATGTACTTTAAGTGTTAATAATACCAGATGAAGAGCTTAACAAGTCCCTCATGAAACACATTTTTAAGACTCTTCAGCTGAAATTTCCAAGAGATAAAGACAGTAGTAGCGCTGGCACAGCTGAGTGTGCCTGTCACACGGAACAGGTACACACTGAACCACTCACATAAGTGATGAACCCCAAAACAACTGGTGCGCTCACAGACACAGGGGAAGAAAGTAACCAAAACCTGTTAACTGACATTGAAAACTATTGTCTTGGATTTTACAAACAGGTGGGCTATGACTTCTGTGTTCAGAGCAAGAACTTCACAAGCACCCTTCTGAAACTGGAAGGAACACTTGAGGAACAGGTACCCTCATGATACAGGCAGGATTACAAACTATCGCTTCTTAGTTGGAGAGCATCTAACGTAAGTACCATTACCTCATATGAAACAATTTGACTCTTTATTCGTATCACATTAAGTGGAAGAAACATACCAGTCAAAGACAGGTACAGGATGAAGAATTCTGCATTATATGGCTTTGGATGCTGGTGATAAAACTGCAATAACCTTTGACAGAGTACAAACACACCTACCCAAACACATACCGTTACCATTTTACTGTATCACAGAGTTAAGAGTATGAGAAGACCTCTATGTCTAAGCCATTCCTAGTGAGATATACAGGTTTTTTTAAAAGTAATGTAGAAATTGCTATTATGTATCAGCACACTGCTTCATTTTACATACGAGCATATGTGTCTTGTAAAAAAATGAAGGCAAATGTTACAACTCAACACAAGTAACTTATTCAGAGTAAGTCAAATATAGGTGCAAAACGGGTATGACAGGAAAAAAAAGGTCAGAAGTTGTTTAGAAAAATTCAGAATTCATTCATAAAACTGAAAGCAAATTCTTCTTCAGCTGAAAATTAACTGCAAGGCAACACTGTTTCTCTTTTACCCATTCACTATTTGGAGGAGGCGATTTGAAAGCTTAATTATCTTTTGTTTGCTCTGTGTTCTTTCTTAATTATCACAGACTTGAGTATGAAAATGTGCCTTCTTTCTGTTGAAGAATCTTGCAAAATCTGGGCAAGGAAGGAGATGATTTCACTGTAAATGGTAACATGAGCTGGGTGGGAACAACTAACTGAATAAATACAAACATCCCTTCCTTAGCCATTATGGGTCACAAACATCACTCAGGCTTCAGTTTACTGCAATACTGGTAATAGATTAAAAATTGTCAGCACTTGCCCTTGAAACAGGGGAGTGCAAAGAATAACTGGGGGAGGAAATCAGAATGCAACTAGAATAATAGAAGCATGAAATAATTTCCCCTATTTTGCAGTTTGCTTTTGGCTAGCAAACACCTTTTTTGCACTTACATCAACAGGAACTTTAAAGCAGCAGGCAAGTTTGCTGCTTGCAAGGCATGTTTTTGACCATCACTCGTGTTTGTGCTTCTCTCCAGGGATCCGTATCTAGAATTTCAGCTAGAACTTCACTAGGCAGGAGCTTTTTGTGGACAATCCCACCCATCTATTAATCATAGTCTATTTTAACTGTCGTAATAGAGTCCAGGTTTGGTTTTTCACTGTTACTCCTTCCATGAACGGAAGTTAAATGCTTTTTAAGAGCAGACTTGTGTTTGAAGTCCATGTCGCAGCAGTGACACTTGTAGGGCCTGTCCCCACTGTGTATGTTCAGGTGATCCTGGAGCGTACTTTTGGCTGTGAAGGTCTTCAAGCACACCATGCACTGGAATGGGCGGATGCCCATGTGGCCCCGGATGTGTCTGTTCAGGTTCTTTTTCTGTGTAAATGTTTTGCCACACTGCAAACACAAGAACAGTTTGTGCATTTTCAGATGTCTGAGATAGTTCTCAAGGTGCAGAAATCCCCTGGGACACTTTGGACACTGGTGCCGCCAGGAATTGCTGGAGTCATCCACACTCTGGAAGCCATTTGTCCCACCATAAGTTCCTTCTGGATTGTCATTGACTAAAGCCTGAAAGTGATTTCCTGGCATTTCTGTATTTCTGCTTTCAACTGTAGAATTTATCAAGCAGTGCTGGGTTTCTGGAAAATACAAATTTGTTTTAGAGGAAGTGCAAGGCTGAGGAAAATTATCATTATCTACATTTGCAACGCTCATAGAATCCATTCTGAAGATACAGATTTCTTCATCCTTGTATCCAATCTCAACTGTTGATATTTCTGAGGGTTTGGGGTCCTTCCTTTCTGAGATCACGCTCTGCACTATGGGCTGCAAGGTGTCCGCATTCTCCTGCTTCACAGGGTACTCAACATTCACTGGGCTGTCTTCAGAGATCTCAATTATTTCACAGTCTTTATCTAAACCCTCATCCCTGTTTCTCAGTTCAGCGTCTGAGGAATGACATCTCTCTGCAGCCTGGTTCTCCATGGAAGCATCAACCTCCAGGTATTTCGACAAAGCTTCGGTACACTTCTCCACAATGTGAACCATCTGGAGGTAGCTGGCAGCAGTCAGGTATTTCAGCAGCTCCTTCTTTTTGACTTCCAGAGCGCCGGTGTAACAAGAGAGCAGGAGCTTTCTGCCCACCTCGGCGCTCTGCAGGATGGTGATCCGCACCTGTCTGGACTGATTGAGCAGGAACTGATCCCGCATGAAGGTGGAGCAGGCGGCGAAGATCACCTTGTGCCCCTGGAACTCCGTGTCGTTGATGTAAATGGAGACGTCGCAGAAGAGGTTCTGCTGCCGCAGGAGGTTCATCTTCTGCAACACGGCATCCCCTTGCTGCTCGAACTGGAAGTGCAGCACCTCCGAGTCCGCTGCCATGGCGCTGCTCCTGAGGGGGAACCACCGGAGAGTCCCGCCGAGCCCAGGCCACCCCCGCTAGCAGGACCCAGCCGCGGCCCCGCTCCGCTCCGCGGCGGCTGTCGGGCTCTGCGGAGCCGCCCACCCGCCCTCCTTCCCTCCCGCTCACCGGCCGCTTCCCGAGCCGGTGCGTGCTCCGCCGCCGGTGCCGCAGCGCGCCGGAAGCGCTTCCTCCACCCGCCCCTTCCGGCAGCGGCCCCAGCGCGCTCCGATCCGCCCGCCCCTTCCTCCTGTTCCCCCCCCCTGCCCGGTACCGTTACCGCGGTGAGCAATGAGAGGCGGCGGGAGACAGAGTTAGCAGCACGTTTATTATGAGAGTTGGCACTGCTACAGCGGCTGCCGCCGGGGGACACCGCGCCGACACCGGGGCGCGCCTCGCCAAACGTCCGGTAGAGGTAGCAACATACGGGCCCGGGGCGCCGCGGCCGCCGCCCCTGTAAGGCATCTCGGACAGCAGCGGACCGGGGACTCCGTCCCGCCCCGGGGCGGGCGCCATCAGCGAGAACAGGCCGAGGGAAAGGCTCAGCTCCGGGCAGAGCAGCAGGCTTTGCCCCGGCCCCCGAGCGGGGAGGAAGCTACCGACAGCCACCGACCGCCTGCTTTGGTAACAACGCGTAGAATGAGACTTTTGCCCAGTCACTGAAGAGGTAGCTAATGCTCAGTCCTTCGATTATACAGTCTCCAAGGAAAAACGTCCATTCTACCTTCTCAACCCTTACCACATCAAGAGGGCAACCCGCGTTCCCCCCTTTGTCTTTAAAAATAAAGATTAAACGTGACTTTACAGTTCTCTCAACAGTTTTAGTTTGTATCACATCTCGATTCTCCCTCCTTGCCTTTACTCCTCCCAATGACTTCAGAACCAAAACCAGCCCCACACAACGAAGTTATTCCATCAAAAGTCCAGCGGGCAGCTAAGTTTTGCCAAAAAGCTAGGTTAGAAAAAAGACTGACACTTCAATTTTATCAGTTACTAATTTGTAAAACGTGTCTTCTAAAAGAAAAATAAATACTCATCCCTGATCTATACAGGAGGCTCTGCAGCTGCACCAGAAGCCACAGGAACACATGCTACACAAGCTACCACCACTTGGAAAAGTGGTGAGCCTAAACCACTGGTAAACCTAACAGTTCTAAGGTTTTCTTCTTCTATATAAAATAAATAAATTAAACGCCAACATAAAAAAAAAAACCCAAACCTAATATATTCAAGGAGTTATTAAAATATTTTTGTAATAGACTTCAGTTATTTTTAGAATATGCAGGAAGTTGAACAACACATTAACTTGTGAGACCATCCACTTACCAGCAAATAGTATTCTACACATTAACACACAGATTATGATAACTGCCATAGTCCTCATCTGAATATGCAGCATCAGTAGCAACAACCAATGGATCTAGTCTTTCACTAACTGGAACATGGTGATGAAGACAACATTTTACATACATGGACCATTAAGTTCATCTTATTCTATAGAAAACCAGCTGCCTCTGTGTATTTAATTTAAAATAATTCTCACTCCATTTTCATCTGCAATTCAGAGAAGCATTAGCCAGATTTTTCTGCTCTAATATCTCTCCTATACTCTTCACTTGTCTGTTCCTTATAGGGGCAAGTTTTACATGAACTCTGCCACCAGCGTGCTCTGCACCATGTCATCAGTGTATTGCCCTCTTAGATCTCCAGTGTTTCTGGAGTCACGCAACCATCTCCTGCATAAACCTTTTTGAGGTTTGTAAGCCTGCACCCTTTGGCCAGGCCAAAAGCACAGACACTAGTAAGAAGTCACTGTTCATCCAACAGATGTGTCCATTTTCATTGGAGAAGCAGTCTTCTGCATTTCTGCTTTTTTCCTATTTACTTCTGCCATGGTCTCACCAAATGACCCCAAAGCAGCCTTTTCAGTGAATGCAGTCCCAGCCTTCTCAGATGTTGGCATTGCCACAGCACAGGGTGGACTGAAAACTTTCGTATCTTGACCAAATCATTTTTTTGTTCCTTAGGAAACCCCCTTGTCTCTTCATACCAGCTTCAACGAGCTGTAGTCTCCCTACAGTAGGATTACAGCTTTGTAATTCCACAAAAAAAAAACCAACAAACTTCCCAGACAAAGCTTTCAATACCATCCATTTTGCTGCCACTTTTTCTAGCATTTGCACAGTTTTACTCCTTTCTCTAGCAGAAGACCATTTTCTTTACCACGTCCATATTCATATCTGGTTAGACCGTTCACTCATCCCTTACAGCATGTTGACCTGGCTCTGCAAGCTCTTATTCTCCACGTCTGTCTTCGTTCTGATGTTAGTGCTATAGCTTAGTTACATATAGTGAGTAATTTTGCACAATGCAGAAGATTCTGCCTGAACACAAAATGCAAGTGTCCCCTGCAACCATCACCTTCAGTTTTAGCTCAAAACAATTCTGAAAGCAGGTGGCCTTAAGAGGAAAAACAGTTTCTCTTCCTATGCAAACCTTCTGCCCCAGGAACCTGAACCTTTTGAAAGTTCCAAATAGATTTTAGGACTAAATATATTTGCTACAACTTGAAAGATGTAATGCCCTGACACCATTTCCATTGCTTACTTCATAGCTGTCCATGGAACAGTTCATGTAACAGTCAAGTACAGTAGTTTAAGAACACAACTGCAAAATCCGATTCACAGAATCACCTTGCTTTTCTACTTGAACCTATGTGGGTTTCTGAAAACGTTCTGCAACATTAACGTCCATCAGTGTAATGCCTGTGTAAGGGAATCCTGGCTTTTACACACATGGATCTGAAGATCAAGACCAGCTTTTGATAATTACATACAAACCATTTTTTGCTCTAACACACCTTTGGTCATACCTGTTTAGAATTTTTAACCATACAATAGCAGCCTTTCACCCCCACCCTGTCATTCAAACACACAAACAGTACTACTTTTAGGTAGGAAGCATAATCTCAGCTGCATGCAAACCTTGTAGAAAAGAGCTGCATTGGAAAAAATACCCCAAATACAAACAGCAGTTCTCTACGGAGGATCAGCCATTTCATTATTAGTTTATGCTACACTTCAGTGTAATACAGTGTCCTACTGGGAATGGTGTCCCTCATAAATTACTTTCAGCCTGATTGGGATGCGGATAATTCCATGGCACTTTTGAGAAGTAATATGGTATAATCCCAGAATCCCAATTAACATGCCATTCCCGCTACATTTGATGTTTAAGGCGGTATACAAGAGGTATTGCTGAGTACAGCTATAGCTGCTATATTAACCTATGGAAATTGTGTTACCTATACCTCATTCTATGCTCTGTAGAACATTAGTGGCAGTGAACTATGCAGGGCACTTAAAAAAAAATATTAACTTTGTTGTTAACGTTCCTATGGCAGGTATTTTTGTTCCTTTTTTCCAAGTTAACTGACATGTGGCCCTTATTCGCTATCAAGGAGAGATATACAAGAACTAAAAAAGCAAGGCATGGAGTTCTTATACATTTGCAGCTTTAAAAACAGTTTCTTTTCACAGTGTTAAAAAGCAGTGTTTCTCCACTCCAGCTTTGCTCTAAAATTAACAGCTGTTGTGGTTTATGTGATGCAAAATTTATGGAAGATGAGTGCTCATTTTTAGTTTTGAAGTGTTTAGCTTGTCTCAGTCAGTACATACACTGGTAAGTGCCCTTTAAAAATCCCAGGTATGAGAGTGTAAGACACAGGTCACACTTGCACTCCAGACACCAGCCTCTCACATTCCAGAGCTGCCATTTCTTCTCATTTTGAACAGTTCTATGTGATGACCAGGTAACCCTGCCAAATCATTTAGGGTTTTATCTTTTCATAATGTATGTTGAGGTTAAAAACCCTGAGAGCTTTTAAGATAGCACTGACTGGCAGCAGGATTTCCTCAAAATAGTTTAGAAAGGGCAAAAGAGTGACACAAAAATACTTCATTTCAACTGTAGGGGTCTGGAGATAAGACCAGAGAAGGGTAATTTTAAGAGGTAATTTTAAATTTAACTATATGGAGTGCTTTCAGTTATCCAGTGATTAAAAAAAATAATAGTAATTGGGTTATCTCAGAGACTTGTCCTCTTTGCTCTCTCCTCCACCTGCCCAGACACAGAGTCCTCTAACTGTATAGCAGATGGTTTACTGGCAGCCCATAGCAACAGTCTTTCAAAAGGTGTTAGTCTTGAGTCTCCTAATCAGTGAGAAATTAAACAATTAACCCCATAATCCACAGTAGAGATGCAGACAGAAACCTGAAGGAAGATTGCTATTCACAGAAAATATCAAGTAAGACTAAGAATGATGGCTGGAGACCTGCCAGGTTTTGCAATCCTACCTGCCATCACCCTTCCATCCATCCATCCATTCATTGCCTTTCAGGGCATACCACTAGCTTAGGTAAGAGCCCAAACCAGCTGTCTGCTCTTCAGTCGTGATCTCTGCAAAGGGCTGGTTTTAACTGCTCAATTGACACAGGTACTATCGTTTCTTAAACCAAGCACAGCCTGAGGCAGCTTCCCTGCATCCAGTACCTGGCTTGCATCAGTTTGCTGACAGACCTTACTGTCTGTAGCAGCGCTACATGTGAATGTATCGAAGTCCACTGTTATGTCTTGAACATTTCTTTCATTGGCATTGTCAAAGCTATTTTTACCGTGTAGCTGTTTAAGGTGTTTCCTCAGAACGGGTTTATGCGCAAACACCATGTCACAGTAGTTACACTTGTGGGGCTTGTCCCCACTGTGCAAGTTGAGATGGTCCTGTAAGGAGCATTTCTGAGAGAACGTTTTCCCACAGATCTTACATTGGAAGGGTTTGATGCCTGCATGCACTCTCATGTGCCGGTGGAGATTGCCCTTCTGAGTGAATGTCTTGCCACAGAGCAGACACATAAATAGTTTATGCATCTTTAAATGATTAGCATAGTTTTCCAGATGCCGAAATACTCTTGTGCACTTTGGACACTGATGGTGCCACTGGAGACCTTTGTCTATACCTCGGTTGTTGGGCCCAAACATATCTTTAGAGGCCAGAATGATGTTATCACTGCCAGCATAGGAAAGGGCATAGTTGTGGAGGTGGTTTTGCTCCATTTCACTTGCCCTGTTTTCAACAGTGGAGTTGATAAGAAAGTGTTGCGGCTCCGAGGAATGCAATGCAGTTTGTTCAGAAGAAATAAACTGGTTCTGATCCTTCTTATTTCTGACTTCCGTTACCTCCCCAATGGACTCCACCTTGATGATCTGAATATCACTATCCTCCATATCCATACTATCTTCAGAAGGTTGGATACAAGGTGAATCTTGCTGCAGAGAATCGTCATCTCCTTGATGTTCCTTCAGCTCAGAGGAGTCGCTTTGCTGTTCGCACTCTTTACTCCCCAGTGGCTGCTTTGGTTTTATAAACTTCCAGAGGGCCTGTGTACATCGTTCAACGATGTGGCTCATCTGCAGGAAGCTTGCAGCAGTTAAGTAGTTTACCAGCTCCATTTCGGGAAACTCTAGAATGCCACTGTAACAGGATAGGAGCAGCTGCCGCCCCACTTCCGAACTCTGCAGTATAGAGATTTTCACTTCTCTGGAGTCATTCAGTAAGAACTGATCTCGTAAAAAGGGAGAGCCAGCAGCAAATACAATTTTATGCCCATGAACTTCAACATCATCTATATGAACCACGACATCACAAAACTTGTTTTCTTCCCTCAGTTTGTTCATTTTCTGTAGCATTGAATCCCCGTAGTTGTCAAACTTGAAGTGAAGAATATCTGATCTTTCTGACATTTTGGCACACCTGAGGAAAAACAGCAAGAAAAAAAAACACACCAAGTGAGAACTTTTTTCATTGTCTAAAATGCAACTTAGACAGGTCTAAAGCAATAATATAAAGTGTGTGCTTAATCAGACATTACATGCTAAATAAACAGTAAAGCGTGTGAGAAGTTAAAAGAAGAAAAAGACAATCAAGTTTACATGTCACCTTACAACAGCTTTCACCTCTTTTTCATTTAATGCAGCTTGGCTATAAAGTAGAGGAGCTATGGCAGGAATTCTCCTGAAGCTGTATCCTAAAGAGTTAAGATGCTTATCGCACTATTTGTTTGGAATTTAAAGGGAAGCCATGGCGGTAGTTTCAGCAGCCTTAGCTCTTGTTAAGCTTTACTTCCACATTAAAACTCCTCAGAGATTTTGTCTTTACTAAATAACAATGACATTCCTTTAGCTTTTGGTTTCTGATTTCCTTTAATGCCTGAAGAGCTTTCATTGATTCAAACAGATTTAAGGCGAGACAGAGCGTTGCACTTGCCAGACATACAAACACCCCTCTTAACATGAACTGTGCTTCTAGAATCCCTGTTCTGTATACTAAGGCAATGTAGGAAGTCTTGTTTCTTGTCTTCTTTGGCTGATCACTCCTCTAGGAAGTTTGTTCTTGTATAATAGTACTTGTTATGGAGAACAGTGGCTCTCCCACCAAACAAGTATTAATCTTCTGACTTTCAACAGTTCTTTTAAGAGTTTTTCTGAGGCTACACTGATTCTCAAGGAAACACTGCTCACGCAATCCTGCCAGAGAGCTGGGACTGCAGGAAGTAGAGAAATCACAGACACTAAATGATGCAAGATTTGGCAAGATAAAAGTAACTAAGCAAAGCAAAACTGACACCTCAAACCTCGTACAAACACCACACAATGCCTGAGCAGAAGCTTTGAAGTTTATAGATAAAAGCAGATACTGTTCTCTTGGGGTGTGAGATGTCAGCTCCGTGTATACAACAGGAAAACATGAATTCACATGACAAAGGTTCACAGAGGAATACTTTTAGGACTATGTGTTGACAAGGAGGGTTGGTGCAGATTGCTGATCAGACATCAGTCAAGAGATGGGACCTCCTCACTACTCCAGCCCATCAAGCATCTCTTCCAGTGTACAGCATTATAAAATTGCAACAGGATTTCGGGAGCCTTCAGAACCAAGGGACCCCAGAGAGCTCGGAAGCAGGGGCAGCACCGTCCTGCAGTACAACCAGTTCTGCTGAGCCTACATGAAGTAAAGCCACCAGTCTCCCGACTCAATCTCAGTTCCGACTACTGCTGATCTCCAGGAGAAAAAAGCGATCAAATGACCCTAAGCCTTCCTCAAAACCGTGCTCAAAACCGCGCCCAAAGGCGAAGCAGCCCCAGCCCCTTGGGAAGGACAGAGAAAGCAGCAGGTACCTGCAGCGCCGGGCCGCGTCCCCCCGCTGGCACCCGCGGCCGCTCCCACCGCAGCGCACGCCGCGGCCTCCGGCTACGGACCTAGAGAGGGGAGGAGAGCCGCCGTGAGCCGCCGCCCGGGCCTGCGGCCGCGCTGCCCCAGCGCCAGGTCGGGCCCAGGCGCCAGCCGCGCCCCCCGGGCGGCCCCTCGTCCCGCCGCGCCCTCGGCCGGGCCGGCCAGCTCTGCGAACCCGGCCCGGGGCGGCGGCGGGAGCAGCGGGGGCCACGGCCCGCTCCGGGGCCCGCTCGGGGGCAGCCGCCCGCGTCCCGCCAGCCCGCCGGGACCTACAAGCGCCGCCACCGCAGCCCAGGACGGCGACTCGGAACCGCATTGTTCGGCCGCCGGAAGCGCTCCGGCGCCCTCCGCCCCGCACCCGGAAGCGCCCGGCGGGGCACCGCCCCCTCCGCCCGGTCACGTGGTGGGCGGCAGCGGCGGCGGCGGCCCTGGCCCGGCACCGGGAGGCGGCGGCGGCGGCGGCAGCCGGGGTAGGTGGGGCTCGTGCTGCCGGCGGGGTCCCGTCCGCCCGGTCCCTCCGCCCTCGGGCCGCCCCTCCTCGCCGGTGCCCCGCGGTCCCTGCGAGGTGCGTGCGGGCTCTGTCCCTCCGCCGTTCCGGGGCTTCACCGCCGTTCCCTGCCCCTGGCCGGCGAGCGGCGTGCGGGAGGTGGGGGCTCTCCTGCACCTCGTTAACGGCGTGCCCTTCCCTTGCCCCCCCCGGGTCGTGTCTCCGTCTTGCTCCCTGTCCTCTCTGCACGCCGGGGTCGCGGCATCGGCGCGGGTGGCAGTGCGAGCGCGGCCGTGATTCTGCCCCGGCCCGCACAGGGCCGGGCGCTGGCGGGTACCCGGGCCGGGTCCCGGGCAGGTGGGGAGCTCCGGGCCCTGCCTCTCCTTTCCAGCTCCCTCGGCTCCGTATGGGTGGACAAGGGTGACCCACCTTGCTCCCAGGCCCCTCCCGGCCGTGAAGCCAGCAGCGTTACCGGGACCCCTCGGAGCGCATACCTGAGCCGCCGGAATTCACTCCCGCGGCGGGACCGTCCGGTCTCGGGCTGCGCTGCGCTCCTCCGGTACCGCCGCTGGTTTTACCGGCTGGGCACCCGCTTCCCTCCCTGTGGCCCCGCTGCGTTGGTTGGTGCCTGTTGCTTCCAGGTGGATCCTAAAATGTGGCATTGCATTGCGTCCAGCGGTCTTTACTTGGTGTGTGTCCCGCAAACTCGGTGTTCCTCTCGGGGTTTATGCCTTCCTGTTGTCAAGGAGACGTTTGCTTCAGTTAAAACGGCCTTAGAACATTTTTAAGGGCTGATTGTGTCAGGGGTGAAAATTCAGTATAAACAAATAGGCTGTGTTAAGTTGACTAAGAAACACCCATCAAGGAAAAAATAAGTTAAAATCGAGCTGGTAGAAATAGACTTTTTGTCTGTGTAGTTTTGTCTGTTCAAGGCATGTTGTGATAGAGGAGAAGGAGGAAAAATACTTAGGTTTGGAGAGGGAGAAAAGACCATGTTTATTTCTTCAATACAAGTTGGAGATGAAGTTGTGCTTACCTGTACTGTTATACAGCTACAGCGTGCTGCATATCCCCAGTTTTGTTCTACTTACAGGTTGTGTTAAAGCAAAACTTGATGGGATTTCTTGAGATTTTGGGCAAGTTTATTAGAGAAAGTGTAACTGCGTAGACTGCCTCATTGCTGATTGAATTACAGAAACGCTGTATTCTTTCTAAAGGTCTCTACTTACCAGTAAAAGGTCAAGGACCTGAGCAAACTTATTTTTGTGTACAGAGTAAACAAATTAACAAATGGAGCTTGGCAGCGGGTTTCCTTCTGTTCTCCTAATCCCAGCGCAGGCAGCTTTTAGTAGCATGCACCCGATGCATGTTCTTTCACAGTGTAGTTTGAAAGCGCTGTGTTTGGTGAGCAAAACACTGTTTCTCCTTGAATCCTAATGAGAGAACTCCAGAAGTATACAGAGCATCGTGGTAGGAGTTTGTGTAGCCTCTGGCTGCACTCACTGCCTTTATTCCAGGCTCCAGCCTGTGTGTCCCAGTTCCCCTGTGCAGACAGCTCCGAGATGTGCCTGATGGAGCGGCAGGCACGGAGTGTGGATGGACCATCCGTTCATAGCTAATTCATTCCAGTGACATTCCAGTGACGGACTGGCTCAGGCAGCGTCAGCGTTTCTTTTATAAGGCATGGTTTCCCAGGACCTGCTGCGTGTTTCTGAGGTTGGGGAATTTGCTTATTCCAAGAGCCTAAAAGCCAAGAGTTTTGTTGTTTGAGCAGAGAGTTGAAATGGAGATTAAAAGCAAAATTATATTGGCCATAACTATGAATTGTTAAGGGTGATTAACAAAGGTGGCATTAGGTTAACTCTGGTGTTTTGCCTGATGCCTGGTTTTGCATGCAAGTATCTAGTGATTCACTCAGCTTCCTGAGGTCGGCACTTCACTCCTCCTGAGAAGAGAAAGGGGTTGAAATCTGAGGCAGCATTATCTCTAAATAATGCTATCTCTTTGTCTGTCTGGCTTTTTGAGGTTAGTGGGAACATGTGTGGCTGCCAGTGTGTTTTAATATGAACAGGAGAGTTAGTATTGTTAGTATTGTTGCTATTTTTAATTCATTACTCTCTTTACTCATCCTAATCTTTATTTTCATGTGCAGTATTCCACTGTCTTTCTTGCTTCATTTTGAGTGCAGAATACTTCCCGTTGCATTTGAGAGCGTGTGTTGCACAGGGAAGGTGGGTAAAGATCAAACATGATTGCTCAGACTAATCATGTGATATGGGAGAATAAAAAGGGTTGTTAGTGATTGATCTTTCTTGTATGGTTGGTCCATGCCCCCCCAAGCTGTAGTAAAGTACAGGTGATGTGTATGTGTTTGGAAAGAGTCAAACCACAGCTCCTTTCCTACGTGTCTGTAAGTATGATGTCAGTTTTGCTCTGACATTTCTTATGCTGCTCAGGTGGAAGCACCTGGCACCACCACTTGGAATGATGGCGTAGCATTTCCCAGGATTTTTTCAGGACTCTGGCTGTATCTGTAAAACAGTCAGCTTGTACTATGTGAATTGCCAAGGTAAAAAAATCACAGATGTCAAAGACTAAAGACCTAAGAATCCTAAAGCATGCTGGCTTATTTGTCATACCACAGCTTTGCAAAGTGCATTGTAAAGCTTCTGAACTTGGCTACAAATTCCATTCTTCACCCACACTAAGATGCTAATGATGAGAAGTAGGAAAGTAGAACTTTGTGTGTGTAAATTGGACTGTACTGGATATTATTGTTAAGCTCTGCATAAAGCCAGGGGAATAGAAACAGAACATACATTCTTTTCAGTGAATCAGTTTGCATTGAATCAGTCACCTCAGCGCTGTGTGACACCTCCTGGTTTTCCATAATAATATACTTAGTGTATTTGTGTTTTAGGGGCTAGAGGATACACGCTTATGTTGTATGCCAAGCTTTCTGGCTTTGCTGTTCAAGGTAGCTTCTATTACTGCTATTCCTTGGTTATTTAGTTAATATTGTTCTGCTGTATCTGGTGCATTCTTCATCAGATACACTGTAACTTTGTGAAATTGCTGTAGGAACTGCAGTTGCAGAACAAAAGCTGACAAAGATATGAATAAATGATGGGATCTCTTTAGTTTTCATACCTGTTCTCATGCTTGTTCTCATTTCTGCCCTGAAAACCCAAAACTTATGTATATTCTGTGTTGTGTTCCTCTCTTAATTCAAGCAAAGGGTGCTGCATTTGCTGTTGACTTAAAGGTAATTGCTGTTTGAGAAAGTCCAAGAAGTTCACAGCTGAAACACTGCTATTTCAGCTCACCCTCTGGCTTTTTTGTGTGTGTAGCTGTGGATATTCTAAACACTGGAAAATGGGTGCCCCGTGGAAATGGAGAGCCACCATAGATACAAGGGCCTTGCTTCACTTGTGCATGTCTCAAGGTGGCATTCAAGCCTCAGTCTCTTACAGTAATATAAAATGGAAGGTTTTCTGTTTTTCTTTTTCCTACTCTCTGCTTTAAGCTCTTTTAAATTCATTCTGGCAACATTTGCAAGGAAAATTTTGGTCACAGGTTGCAGGTCAGGTGCCAGATAGTTGGGAGAGGATAGGAAAGTAAAAGAGAAATATTCTGTAAAGCTAAGGAACTAATCTTGAACTTTGATAGGTTTTGTTTTCCAGTTGTGTGAGATGTTAGCATGGTGAATGGTGTCTTTGCTGTTCCTTTGCATATTATCTTGGACAGGGAGAGTAAGGTGGGTTGATGCTTGCTTTAAAGATTAGACAAAAACATCTTTTACAAAGCTAGTTTGGTTCTTGGCCTTGCATTGTAACATTGTGAAACAACAGCAGTGAAGGTGAATTGCATGGAGACTTAGAATTTTAATCTCATTTTTCAGCTTTTTCTAATGGTCTTTTGTATGGGGAGAGGCCAGGACACTCATTTAATGACACAGGCAAGCAAAGAAATAAGCGGTTGAAACTTTGCCACTTAGTATGCGCTTTCCCTAGATGCTTCATCTCCCTTCGAGGTGTAAAGACACCTGCAGGCAAAGAGCTACATTATTGTGGTGTAGCTTTGTGTCAGGAATTAAACTATGCTGAATTCAAAAGCTCATATTTTATTTATGTTGAAACAAACCAAAGTCTCTTTCCTTGTAAGGGATATTTGTGGCTTCTGAGAACCATTAAAACCTGAGATCTGCATTTGGATGGGGTCTTCTCTCCTACTTCTCTGAACCGTGAGAACTGAAAGCTTCAGCTCTTAAACAACTTGGAGGTATTAGTAAGAAGCACTGTCACTGCTGCTGTTCTTGCTTTTTGATTCCAGAGAAGTCATAAGCCTGTGCGCTTAATTGCTCTGCTGGTCTTTGATGTGTGTCCTTCTGGGCTGGCCCATATTTTAACGAGCTCATAAGCCTTCTCTGGTTGATTCTTCCATTGTGAGTTTTCTGATCCAGATAAAGTGATCCTGTGGAAAGCTGCATGGAACAAAGCGACAGCAAGGAACACAGGAAATAAAATGCATGCAAGGCAAAGTATGGGGATGGGAATTTTGGTTAACTTCAGGCAGTGGTTCAGCATTTTTGGTACTTTAAGGCTGCTTTTGCATCTCAACTATTTGAGCATTAATCCCATGAACCTTAGTGGCTGATTCCAGTGGTTGGGTAACTAAACCTTGCTTGGTGATACATCACTAATAAACAAAAGCTTCTTACAGTAGTCTACTACATTGTCCCTTTCCTGTGCTGTCTTGTCTTGTGTAACATCAGTAAGATTTTTGCTCAATGTAAGGTTGGCAAAGTTGGGACCTTCTGCTGTTGCAATTCTCTATTGTGAAACTACTGCAGGGGTTAGGCTGAGCTCTGGAATTGAGCGTGGCATCTGTTTAAACCACACTATTGAAAAAGAGTGTGTGAAAGCATGGCATACTGCTTCTTTATTTGAGCTTAATGTTGGTGAAAGATGCCAGATTGATAGACTTTGGCAATAGGTGAAATTAGCATTTTGAGACAGATGCACTACACCAAGATAAATAGCTAAATTGATCCTTGCCTAGATGATCTTTACAACTGCTTGTGATCAAAGCCCACTCTTCTACCCAGCCTTAGTGTGACAGATGAGTTTGTACTGTTTGAATGAAAACAGTAAAGCCAAAGAGCTATTAAGTGTTTGAAGTGTATTTTTATTCTGTGTTTCAGTAGATTTGATGTAGTTATTTTCAGGTGATCTGTGTATTATATAGATGGTGCAATAGGGAACTTCTGTAGAAATGTTTTAGTATGAGTTCTATAAACAAAAGCATCTTTAAAAATGACAACTCTGCCCTACCTCTAAGATACACACAAATGATACCTGATAGGCACATACAGCGAGTAAAACCTTTCAAAATATCTACATTTCTCAGCCAGTAAATTCTCATTGAAAGTCAGTGGATCATAAAATGTTTTTGCAAAGGATACCTGAATAGCTCACATACTTTTGAAAATGATACCAAATAATCACAGCTGTATTGACATCCACAAACAACCCACATCCTCCTTCCTCTTGCACACTGCTTCAGTTGTCCGGTGAAACATGTTTCAGGACCACGAAGTGACTTGATTGGTAAAGTAATCAGGTTAAAAATAACCCAGAGGGAAAACGGATTGTTGCCCTCCTGGCAGATTTCATGTCATGT